CTTTTGTTTGCTGATTGGGGTGTCTTTGTCATCCCATTGTATAAAAAATGGTTCATTTCCTGAAATCGGACATGTGGTTAATATTGTGATAACGATACTAGACTTAAATTTTGGTCTGTTGAAATCATACTCCTGTATAATGTTGTGAAATGAGAAATATATTTTTGGTCAGCTGGGTGTCTAACATATGCTGAAACCCATCACCACATATTTATGCAACCTACATATGGAAATTTCTCTTAGAAGAAAGGGGTCTCTGCCCCTAGTGACCAGTCTGTCCCTCCACGAACTACTGATCAGCCAGGCTTGTTGGTCTGTCATCAGCAATGCTTTCTTCGTGTCGGACACCTGGCTGACCAAACAAGAACTACCTCTCAGACCAGGTCTGTGGTTAACTCCGCCTGGCTAAGGAGCTAAACCACCAGGACTGCCACAGAAGATTACTTATACCAAAATTCCATTGAAAGCTTGTCCCCCTGGAGCTAGTTTAGCTCCATGCAAACTCCACTTCACCCCCCCCACCCCACCTCCTTCCTGGAGAATAGTCACTTGTTGGTCATTTGATCAAACCATTCTACGTTTGTCAGACACCTGCAAATGACAAATGCATAATTTTCTCATAGATGGATTGATATATTTTGCTCAATCACAGTTTATGGAACTGGGTTCCACATTCGCACCAACCTCTGCCTACAGAAGTTCCTCCTAAGCTTAGTGGTTAGAGCACTCGCCTCGCAAGCGAGGAAACCTGGGTTCAATTCCTGGCAAGGTGAAACGTTGGGCAAGTTTCCTTACTCCACATGCCTGAGTTTAACTAGCAGTAAGTAGGAACCCGGTTATTAGTTGATTGGTGGATCATTTTTCTGGAGGTAATAATTTCTTCAAAAAAAATTAAGTTCATCACTCAATCCACGACTGTTTGTGAGACACTTCTGTGCGCAATTGTCTGCCGCGTTTCACCCACAAAATACACAGTCAATTCACTTTACAGCATATTCTGTGAAGGGCTTTGAGACGTCTCGAAGTTGTGATAAGGCTGTATATCAATTGTAAGGATTATTATATTCACATTGATAGCAGTGTACTGTACTTCAACACATCTGAACGTAATCGAAAAATTACTCTTTAGTCTTACAGTTTGGTGATGAATCTCAACGTGCTGCTACCTTGTAGCACACTTGCAGACTGTTTTAATGGAGAAAGTGAACGTGTGTGAAGGTGAAGCATTTTTAGCGCATTTCTTCCTCAATTGTATTTGGCAAAAAATATAAAGTCATGAGGAGAATTTCATGCTGTATGCTATTGCCATTGGAGACTTACTATTTTTAGGTTATAATTTGTTACAAAGCATCTTGATTGAACTGATGACCTTTCCATTAAACTTTTCATCCATTCTCTGCTCAAGTCCAGGAGGATAGAGGGTAGGAGAGTGGCCGAAGGCACGGTCGAAGAGGAGGGTCTTGAAGGAGGCAAGGGAGGGAGTGAGGTGAAGGGAATGTGGGATGGAGTTCCAGAGAGTGGGGGCAGAGAGGCTGAAGGCTTGACCACCGATGGTGGAATGGCTGGGAGGGGACATAGAGCAGGCCAGAGCCTGCTGAGCGGAGGGAGCGAACAGGTGGATAAGGGGTTAGCAAGTAGGAGGGGACAAGGCCATGCAGGGCCTTGAAGGTGCGGACGAGAATTTTGAACTCGATGCTCTGAGGGATGGGGAGCCAGGTGTGAATGGGTGTGATGGGGTCACGGAGCCCGGTGCGGGAGAGGACACGAACTGCAGAGTACTGGGTGATCTGCAACTTGTGGAGGGAAGAGTTGCAAAGGTTGACAAGCAGGGCTTTGGCACAGTCGAGCCTGATGTCACCAAGAGGGAACATGTGCAGGTTGAAGAGGAGAGGACCGATGACAGAACCCTGAGGAACACCACAGAAGACTGGGGGGTGGGGGCTAAAGGAGAAGCCTTCAGCCCCCACACAGGGTTTGCTTGGACCTCAACTGTTTACAGCTACATCATTGTTAGATGAGGGAATAGAGCTTAATGTATCTCAATTCACAGATGATAGAAAGTTAGGTGGGAAAGTAAGCTGTGAGGAGAACACAAGGAGGATGCAAAGGGATATAGACAGGTTAAGTGAATGAGCAAGAAGGTGGCAGATGGAGTATAATCTGGGGAAGTGTGAAGTTATTCACCGAGGTAGAAGAAACAGAAAAGCATATTATTTTCGACAGGGGGCGAGACTAGGTAGTGTTAGTATTCAGAGGGATTTAGGTGTCCTTGTACACCAATCACAGAAAGTTAGTATGCAGGTACAGCAAGCAATTAGAAATTAATGGCATGTTAGCGTTTATTGCAAAGGGGTTAGAGTACAAGAGTAAGGAAGTCTTGCTGCAATTGTATAGGGCCCTGGTGAGACTGCACCTAGAATATTGTATGCAGCTTTGGTCTCCTTATCGAAGAAAGGATATACTCGCCTTAGAGGGGGTGCAGTGTAGATTCACTGGGTTGGTTTCTGGGATGAGGTGGTTGACCTATGAGGAGAAGTTGAGTAAACTAGGCCTATATTCTCTAGAATATAGAAGAATTAGAGCTGATTTTATAGAAACCTATAAAATTCTTAAGGGTCTTGACAGGGTAGGTAGTGTGAGACTGTTTCCCTTGATTAGAGATTCTAAAACTGGATGTCATAGGATTAAAGGTCAGCCTTTTAGAACTGAGTTGAGAAAACATTTCTTCACTCAGAAGGTAGGGAATTTATGGAATTCTCTATCCCGGAAGGGTGTGGATGCTCAGTCATTGAACATATTCAAGACTGAGATTGATAGATTTTTCAAAACTAAAGGGATTAAGGGATATGGGGACAGGGCGGGTAAATGGAATCAGCCATGATCTTATTAAATAGCTGGGCAGGCTCAAGGGGCCAAATGGCCTACTCTTGCTCCTAGTTCTTATATTCTTATGTAAGCCGTTTGTGGAGACAAAGTGGAGCCAGTGTTAGAGATAGGATCTGAATCATTCAAGGACAGAACCTTGAAGGTTGAGCTGTGGAGGAGGATAGAGTGGTCCATAGTCTCAAAGGCAGCAGAGAGGAGGACGAGGAGACAGAGGGAGCCCTGGTCAGAGATGGATAGAATGTCATTTGTCACCTTGACGAGGCCTGTTTCCGTGCCGATGGCAGCAAGAAAACCTGATTGGAGGGTTTCGTAAAGGGGGGGCAGAGGAGGAAGGAGCGAATCTAGGAAGCAACAACTCTTTCAAGGACGTTGGAAAGGAACAGGAGGTTGGAGATGGGGCGGTAGTTTATGAGCAGAGATGAGTCCAGGGAAGGTTTTTTTAGGTTAGGAGTGATGACAGCTATTTTTAGGGGGTGGAAACAGTGCCATTTGACAGGGAGAGGTTGACGAGGTCTGAGAGTAAAGGCATGAGAAGGTGGAGCTGGGAGGTAAGTAGAGGAGTAGGGATGGGGTTGAGGGAGGCAGGTGGTGGGCTTCATGTGGTCTGTATTAGTGGTGAGAGAGGTGGGGGAAGACAGTTTTTAAGGTAGGGAGGGATGGGTAGGGGCCGCATTGTGAGGGAGAGATGGGAAGGGTGTGGCAGTTTTAAGAGTGGAAGTGTCTGAATGGATCCCCTCGATTTTGGTCTCATGGAACCCAGCATTTCCTCGCAGTTGGAGAAGAGGATGGGCGAGGCATGAGAGGGTGGATGGAGGAGCTGGTTGGTAGTGGGGAAGAGGAACCTGGGGTTATCCTTGGCTGCCAAGATTATCTTGGAATAGAAGGACGATTTAGCAGAGGCGAGGGTGGAGCGGTAAGTTTTGATGTGGTCCAGCCAGATCTGCCAGTAAACCGTTAAATCAGATTTGAGCCAGGTATTTGGTGGCAAGCACCTGTCCCTTGAGTGAGTGGAGGTGGCTGGTGTACCAGGGTGAGTTGCATGAGTAGGAGATGGTTCGGGAGTTGAGGGAGGCAAGAGCATCGAGAATGGTAGAGAGGGAGTTGGTTGTGAAGGAGAGTGACTGAGGAAGATAAGTCGGTGTGGAAGGTAGGCCAGAGGGGGAGAATTTCAGATGACTCCATGGCAGTGGAGAGGGAGTGGGGGGAGATTCTTTTCCAGGTGCGGTGGAGATGGAGTGGATTGAGTGGCGGTGGAGAGAGGGATTGAGGAGTTAAGGAAGATGGATTGGGGATTTGAGAAGGTTTTATCAGTGATTGTGAGGTCCGAGACACTGGTCCTAGTTACCTCCCCGCCCACCGGCCTCAAATCTGCTTCCGGTCGCTCTCCCCCGGTTCCTCTTATTATTAGCAGCCCGATTGTCTCCCACACAAAGCCCTTTGAATTCTCGTCAAGAGTATAGAATTCAGCATTTTAGATGGCCACAATAAATTTACTGTTGGACTAACTAATGATGCTGGCTTGTATAATTACGAAAAAGTATTTTCTAACTGACATATATCTTTCAAACTCTGCTTGAGCTGCTTTTCGGGTAGTTTTGGACTGTTGTGAAGAAAAGTTTATAGATTCAATGTTTCTGGTTAGCAGAAGTGATGTTGAGAATATTTATGGATACTGTACTTTACAATGAATTTTACAAAACTTACACATTCAGAATTTTGCCCTCAACTATTCTCAGCAAGAAGAATTGGGCACAAATCAGAGGTTCATCCATTCTGATTGTCAACAAGCTAAACAGTACTAATACAATATGATTATACTGCCCATCACATGACATGTACAAAATTGTGGTCTGATTGAAAACAAAATATAGTAAAAGCATAGAATTATTCATGCATACCATGTACTGTAATATGGTGTGAAAAGCACATTCTGTATGAAATAGGACTTCACTGGTGGGATTGAATAAATGAACATCTCTATTATGTCTGTACCTTTAAATTGTTTTTTTTCTCGTTAACAATAATTTTCTTGCCAACATGATTATGTTGATGGGAACTTCTGCAATTGTCTACTGCCTTATTGGATTTGTGGTTTGTTTATTTTTTGATACCAGGGGTGGAACAGCTGGAGTTTGGACACAGAATTGATTTTTGGCCAGGACAAATGCTGGAAGTCAGCAGAAAGGCTGAATTTGGAATGCAACTAGAAGAAGTTTATCAAATTAATAGTCAATTGAACTAAATCGGAATCTGTTCTTACGAAAAGGTAATTAACTCTTTGCAAACATTCTTTGTCTTTATGGTATGCATATTCTACTTTTTAGACATTAGGGCTCGTTATTGCTATGGCCTTTAAAATGGTTACAAATTGCTTTAATCTGTTTGTTACCATAAAATGATTTGAAGAAAATTGTGAGAAACTGCATTGAATCCAGGAAGTTAGTGCTCTAGACTAGGACTGGTGATCATTGCATTGTGGGAGGATGCATTCTTTGGGATAGATGTTAACTCAAAATCCTCACTTGGATATTCCATAACATGTATATTATGGAATATCTTTAAATTGTTTTTCTCAACTTCAAGATCCTGATACTTGTATTCAAATCCATTCACTCCCTGGCACCTCCCTACCTCTCCGACCTCCTCACTCCATCACCTGGCGCTTCTGCTCGACTGGTACCAGCCTCCTGCTCGTCCCTCGCACCCTCCGCCCCATCGGAGGTCACGCTTTCAGCCACTACACCCCAAAACTCTGGAACACTCTCCCTCAATCCCTTCGCATGGCCCCTCTCTCCCCTCTTTCAAGTCCTGTCTGAAAACTTTTCTGTTCGACCGTGCTTACAGCCACCTCCCCCCCTTCCCCCCGGCTTGGAGTCAGTTTCTGCCACTGTTAAGCACTCTGAGACCCTACCCTACGTAGAGGGCGCTATATAAGTGCAAGTTGTTGTTGTATTTAAAAAGGAAATGAATTTTCTCCTGGTGCCATCGGCAATAATCCAATAGATAAGGTGATCATTCACTTCACAGCTGTTTCTGGGAGTTCCTATGAAAATTGTCTGCCACATTTGTCTTGGAATGATGTACTTGACAGTACTTATTTTTGAAGAGTTTTGAGACGTTTGTACCATTTAGGTGCAAGTAAGGGCATGTTCATTGCAACCACGTTATTGTGTGGTATTTGAGATCTATAAAATCCCACCCTGCATTATAGAATAGGAATGCTTATAGGGTCTAACTGCCGGACTGTACTCAACTGCCAGTTTGCAGCAATTGTGCCATTTTATGTGCTAACAGAAAAAATTGTCGAATTCCAAGCCATCAGGTCACCATGTTTCTGTGCATGTGCAAAGTGGGAAATGCAGTCCGCAAAAATAGATTTTGTTGGTCATTATCTAGGCCAATAGAATGCGCTATAAATGTAGTTGATGGCCTGCGGGATGCTCGCTGGTAACCTGGCATCACTGTGGGTGAAGCGGCTTCGGATTCGCATGCGTGGTGTGGCACAAGCGGCAAATGCTCTTCACTCAAATTACCTGCTGTTGTGATTGTTTGTGTATTTGTGTGATTGTCAGTGTCTGTGTGTGTCTCTATGTGTTTGTGAGTGTGTGTGTGTGTGTATCTCTGTGTTTGTGAGTGGCTGTTCGTGTGTCTCTGTGTTTGTGAGTGTCTGTACGTGTCTGTCTCTCTATGTGTTTGTGAGTGTCTGTGTGTGTCTCTATGTTTGTGAGGGTCTGTGCGTGTGTGTCTCTCTCCTCTGTATATGTGTGTGTGTGAACGTGTCTTTCTCTTCTGTATGTGTGTCTGTTTGTGAGTCTCAGTGAATGTGTATGTGTCTCTCCTCTGTGTGTGTGTGTGTGTCTCTCTCTCTCTCTCTCTCTCTGAGAATGTGTGTCTGTCTGAAAATGTATGTGTGTCTCTCTCTCTGTGAGTGTGGGTGTGTCTCTGTATCTGACGTATAACATTTCATCAGTTTCCAAACCGAACACATAATATGTAGATGAAAAACTTATGAATGTTGAAAGCACACAAATAATTCAAAGCTATAATGGCATATTGATGTATGAAGTGTCGATTGTGCAAAGTGATTAGATTGGTGACTGAAGCCTGGGAGAATGACTCAATTGAATTGGACCTCTAAAGGCACCACCACTTCCTTACGATTATAAGTATAGGTGGTAATGATTGAATACAGGGTGTAATATGTTGAGTTCTGATCAGCTGAGATAATGAAATAGCACATTAGATAAGGCTAACATTATGTATATAATGGATGTAACAATAATACTTACATTTGGTACAGCAACTTTCACGTCAGGAGGACCTCCCAAAGCACATCACATATATACTATATAAAGTGGAGCGACTATGTATTTTGTGGGCGAGTAAAGTTGGATAAGTTTACATAAGACAGGGATGTTTAATAGACTTATGTTTATGGTGATATAAAATGAAGTGATTGTCACTGTTAGACAAGCTTCTTCTGCATAACCTTTGGTAATTACTTTGTCTCATTTTTTTGTTTTTGTATGTTTATCATTGTTTATCCAAGCCTGAATTTAAATGTTACAGATTCTATGATGACTGTTCAATAATGGCATGGAATTTTTCATTCAGGTGGTCAGATTTCACCAATTAAAAAATTGTAATCTTTCAACATAACTGAGGAGTGTAACAATTACTGCATTAAATTGCTTAATTCTTTAAGCTAAATATAATTGTTTTACTTGTGTTGTAAGCATCCAATATAATGTAAATTCTTCTATGTTTGTTTTGTGTACACTCTTTGGAAATCAATTCAGAGAATAGTTTGTGGTTGTAGATTATGGCAATTCTACTTTATAAAGGCAATTGGTCTTTATGGGTTGCTCACAACAATTTTTGTTCTGTTGACACTATATATCAGCATGGCAGATTCCACTGCTATTGGATATGGTTCTGGATTTCAAAAATGTAATTCTAGCTTGGTAGGGAATAACACTCGTCTTTATCTCAATATTATTTCTAAGTAAAGCTCAAGTCCCGTATCCCAGCTCATTTGATTCCAGAAACATGATATTACTTTACTCTAGAGTTTCTAAATGAAGACTTCCAGTTGCATTGTTGCCAGAATGCATTTCTTTATATTGAGGGTGATTGATAACTGGTACATGTCACCAGGAATTATGGTTTGGTATTTAAGAGCATAATGCTATAATGGTAAAATGATAGGATTAGTATTTTAGAAAGATGAGATCATATTACATAGGGGACGTGTTGACTACTGGAATGGGTTACCAGGAAATATAATTGAGGAAAGAACATGTGACTTGTTTCGGACATAGTTTTGTACTCTAATGAGAAGACATTAGGTGTCTAGGAAATTGCCTTGTTAAATAATGTTGTGTTCTACTTTTCATTAAACGTTGTGCTTGAACTATTCTGATAAGTTATTTTGTTTTTTTCATTTTATGGTTCAATATCCTGAGCTATTTCCTGGTTCCAATTTTCTATGAAAGATAATACCAACCAATAAATGACATTGTAACTGTGTGACAGTCTGGCTCAGTTTGTAGCACACTCTTTTCAGCGTCATTAGGTTGTGGGTTAAAGGCTCATATCAGGACTTGGAACTCAAGTTACTTGAGGTGTAGTGCTGGGGGTGGGCCATATTGTTGGATGTGCCGACCTTCAGATGAGTTAAACCGAGGTGTTCCTTGCCTGTTCAGATGGACGTTAAAGAGCACGTGGCACTATTCAAAACGAGTAGGGAGTTTCTCCCAGTGTCCTGGCCAATAATTCCTCAAATAAAATTGGTCATTCACTTCTGTCTGTTTGTGGGACATTGTTATGTGCAAATTGGCTGCTGCATTTGCCTACAAAATACAGTCTATAAATACACTTGACAGTTTATTCCGTGAAGCTTTTTGAGACGTGCTGTCATGTGAAAGGTGTTGTATAAAATGCAAGTATTATTATTGTCTAACCTTTCATTAGCGGATAATCACTGTACAATAATTACTTTGTACTTTTTACAGGAAAAGAGTGCATGCGAAATGAAGAGGATCTAATGCAGTAGACGTACTGTAATATTCTACCATAGAAGATTTGAAAATGACCTTGTCTCAATGATGTAATCCATTTCCACTTACCTGCAAAAGGAGACAACAGTTTTGACCCCAGTGTTACAAACATGTTTGGAAATCCCTGTAGAAGAAAAGCATCTCAGAAACTAAGTGTTTTGCTGATCATTTTTGGGTTTGTTTGGGGATTGATGCTTCTTCGATACACTATTCAGTATCCAAGACACGAAAACAGTGTTAAATTACGTGAGCAGATTCTAGAACTAAGTAAAAGATATGTTCGAGTACTAGCGGAAGAAAATCAGAATATGATAGATGGTGCATCAATGGCAGGTTCTGGTAAGTGCTAAAGAAAGTCTGCTTAAATATTGTGTGTGTACGTTTCGTTTGGTACAAGTCTTTCAGACTTTCTTCCAGGGAGCAGGAGAGAAAACTACTGGCTGGGTGGGAGTGGAAAAGGATCAGTCTTGTGCTGCGGAGTAGGTACAACAATAACAAATTGTATTTATATCGTGCCATTCACGTCGGGTGGACGTCCCAAGGTGCTGGACAGTCAAGGTTTGCATCTGTGCTGGGGGTTGGAGTTGAGAGGAATGGAGGGCAAGAGTAGTGGAGGTCGGAGGATGATCAAAGGGACAGTCAAAACAAAGGTCTTGAGACAGGCCTTGATGGAGGCAAGAAAGGGGGTGAGGTGGACAGCTTCCAGGATGGAGTTCCAGAGGGTGGGAGCAGAAAGGTTGAATGCCCTAGCACCAATGGTGGAGAGGGCAGCATGGTAATCTGTTAGCAGATCACAGAGGTAGGGAGGTGCAAGTCCGTGGAGGGCTTTAAAAGTGAGGACAAGGATCTTGAATTCGATCCTTTGTAAATGGGGAGCTAATGAAGCCAGCCAAGGATGGGGGTAATCGCGTCACTGAGCCTGGTACAGGAGAGGATATGAGTGCAGAGTTCTGAATAATCTGCAGCTTGTGGAGGAAAGTCCGGTGAGCAGGGAGATAGCATTGTCAAGTCTAGGCAGAATGAAAGCTTGGATGAGGGTTTCTGCAGCCTGAAGGGAGAGGTAGTGGTGGAGGTGGGGAAGGCAGATGTGGGTGGATTTCATCTGCGTCTTTGTGTCCTACCATGCATTGACTTTCAGGGTGTTGTCAGCTCCAGATATATTTGGACTTGAATTGTTATAAAAGTGAGTTATGTACTTGGATGAGTTTCAATGAAATTACTTAATTGACGTATTAAGCTAAGACTTTGTTTGCTTGTTCGAGGACATTAAATATCCCACGTCATTCAAAAATAGCATGGAGTTTCTCCTGGAGTCCTGGCGATCTTCCAAATTAATTGGACTTTAACCACATGATTGTTTGTGGAGTCTTGCTGTCACAATGGTGCAAATTGGCTGTCACATTTATTCACAAAGTACCCATTCACTCTGCTTTGCAGTACATCCTATGGAGTAATTTGAGACGTCCTCCTCAGGTGAAAGGCACCATATCAAATGTCAGGATTATGATTAATTTTACTAAGGGAAGGTAACAATTCTCCCCATCATGTCTGTACCATGGGCTTCGTGAGCCATCACCCTTGTCCTCGCTTGGCTCTACTGGTCATCCCCCAGTGTATTGAAGTCAGGATCCTCATTCACATCTTTAAATCCCTCCACTTCTTTGCCCATCCCACCTCTGCGACCTCCACCTTACCAACCCAGCTACTCCCTTCGCTCAATGAACACTGGGGTCCTTCATGTCTCTCACCCCATCAGCCCAATTATTGGCAGGCAAGCATTCAGCCGTTCTGTTTGTGCTCTCTTGAACTCCCATCATGGAGTGCCTCTGACTCACTTCCTTTCTCCCTGAATTCCAAACCCACCTCACCTCCTTGACAATGATTTTGGTCATTTGTTCTGCTCATCAGCTCCCACACCTTATAAATATCTTTCTAGTTCCTTCTTAAAAGCTAATATGGATTCTGATCTACTATCGCACCTGGTAGGGCAATCCACATCCTAACAACTGTGTGTGTGCATGTGTATGTAAGAAAAATTCTGATCTCCCTTTTTGCTCCTTTGTTAATTATTTTAAATTGGTGCCCATTTATCACTGATTCATCAACCGGTACATTCCTGCTAGTTGCAGGATATGTTATATAAAGAAAGCTCAGTGGTATTGCCATCTGGAAATCTATTGGTGATGAAATACGTCTGTTTGAAATGTGCTGTGGAGATATGCGTAGCCTTTCAATTTAATTTTTTAAGATTAATAATTTGAGCATAGTGCAGTCAAAAAAGCAAATAATTTCACCAGTGACTTGAGCCTTCTACCTACATGTTTGTTGTCTTCTATTTACAGTAATTTCTGTCCAGGCAAGGAAACGTTTATGCGATCAGCACACCTGCATTCAAAATATTTTCCCCTGTGTCTCCAGTTAGGCAATTTGTATTTCACTTTTGCAAACAAGTATGAAGGAAGCATTGCTTCAGTCGCCAAACTGAAACTGAGTCCTGTAGCTCAGTGGTTAGAGCACTTGCCATGTAAGCGAGAGACCTGGGTTCATTTCCCCACAGGGCGAAACCTTTGGCAAGCTTCCTTACTCCACACGCCTAATAATAATCCCTCAAGAAAAAAAAGCAACAAAATTGGTCACTTCAATCCACGACTATTTGTGGGACACTACTGTGCCCAATTGGCTGCCGCGTTTCGCTCACAAATATACAGTCAACTCACTTTACAGTATACTCTGTGAAGTGCTTTGAGACGTCTAGAAGACATGAAAAGCGCTATATCAAATGCAAGGATTATTATTATTAAACTCTTTTAATCTCAAGAGATTACAGTATTTGAGAAGGTGATGAGATTGAGAAAGCACTAGGATAAGAAAGAATGTGAGAAAGCTTAAAAATACGTAGAAAGCAAACATGAGATTGGAGGCTGAAACTGAGCTGTGTAGAATGTTATAGAAATTAGTTTATTTAATTTGGAGGATTACATCAATTGTATTTAAATTGTGATATAACATTTTACATGGCGCCTTTCACGTCAGGAGGATGTTTTGAAGCGCTTCATGGGATTTATTATAAAATGTAGTGACTGTTTTTGTAAGCAAAATAATTGAAAGACAGATGATTATTTTTGTGTGATGTGTTTTGATTGCTTCATTTCTAAAAAAAATCTGTTTATACTAAAACATTGAGTATTTGCTGTAATAGCACACCAATGAACTAATCACTTCCTGTAGCCTAGAAACTAGAATATTGTGCTGCTTTTTCAGTGATAACCATATCGTATTGACAACTGAGATGAGGAAAACTTGTATTGAAATGACATTCAACAACAGCGTGTAATTATACAGCACCTTTCACATAGTTTGAGAGTCTTGAAGTACTCAAGAAATGAGCTGCAAGAAGGGAGAGTCAAGGATGTTCACCAAGATCAGACATGTTTTAAGGACGGTTTTACAGTCATGGAGAAAGCAGGGTGAGAGTTGTAGAGGGCAAGGGGCATATTTGCTGAGATCTTGGATACTCATGGTGGGAAGAAGGAATTAATTTCTACTTTGGAACAATAGTCAGAAAAGAGGAGAGTGGAGGCAAGAGAATGTGCCAGGGGAAAGTTGCATAGGTGTTCAGAGCCATGAAGGAATTGAAGGACAGGAAAGGAACTTTTAAGACAGTTCCTGGAAAATTAAGAGTCAATTGGACCTAAATAATAATCCTTATATTTGATTGAGTGATTTATCATGAAATAATCAACTTCTCATAACTCTTCACAAGATTTCAGGGAAAAAGTAATGACAAACAGCTGTGAAGTGTACAACCAATTTTATCCGTGGGTTGTTGGTTGGGACACCAGGAAAAATTCTCATCTTTTCAGAGATTGAAGTTATGGACGTGAGATGCAGGAGCTGATGCAAATTATAGAGTTTGGGATTATATGAAACTAGTATAGATGAGGGAAGTTGGCTGAGTATTGGACAAATCTACTAAAGCAGCAAAGCTATGAGTGAGGATTTCAAAATCAGAGGTAAAGAAGTAAGAGTGTCATGCTGTGGAAGTTGAGCAGAATTTGAGCCAGAGATTGATGATCTGAGCCAGAGCTGAGAAGATGCTGACATAAAATGAGCAAGATTCAGTTTTAGTAATATTCAGCTGAAGGACATTAAGGCTCACCAGAACCTTAATGTCTTGTTTGACCCTCATCTATCCTTTCCAACCCACATCCATGCCATGACCCACCCTGCCTTCCCCCACCTCCGCAACAACGCCCGGCACCACCTCCTGTCTCACGCTGCAGGCTGCTGAAACCCTCATACATGCTTTCATAACATCCAGGCTTGACTATGCAAACTCCGTGTTTGTTGGCCTTCCCAACTCCTCCCTCAATAGGCTACAGATCATCCAGAACTCCGCAGCACGTGCCCTCTACCGCACCAGGCTCTGTGACCCTATCACCCCTTGCCCAACTCCACTGGCTTCCCTTCACACGGAGGATACAGTTCAAGCTCCTGGTCCTCACCTTCAAAGCCCTCCATGGGCCTCGCTCCCCCCTACCTCTGTGACCTCCTAATCCCTTGCCAACCTGCCTGCTCCCTCCACTCAATGGCCTCCGGCCTGCTTTACATCCCCCGCCTTGCCCGCCCCACCATTCGCGGGCAGGTCTTCAGCCACTCTGCTCCCACCCTCTGGAACTCCATCTCGCAGTCACTCTGCCTCGCCCCCTCCCTTACCTCTTTCAAGACCCATCTCAAGATCCTCCTCTTTGACCGTGCTTTCAATCACCCACCTTCCCCTCTGCCCTTCACCCTCCCCAATCCTGACCCCCAGCTCGGGTTCGAAACTTTGATTGTCCAGCACCTTGGGACGTCCTCCAGACATGAAAGGCGCTATACAAATGTAATTTTGTTGTTGTTGTCTGACAGGCAGTACATCTTCAATGTATAAGAAGAAATTCAGATCAATTCATCTCCATCATTTCCTAAGAGATTTGGATGGAGGATTGAAGGAGATCAATTGTTTGAGGCGGAAACATCATGTATCTTCATTCCTCCTGAGGGTATTTAATAAAAAAAAGCAAATCCTATATCACTTCTGATTTCATGAGAGTGAGTGCTGTCACTACACTTGACAGAATTTACTTGTGCAGCATTTTTATGTTATAGGTACCATATCAAATGGTAAGAATTCTTATCCAATACACTTCATGGGAAACTGGATCACAGTCAGGTTGACAGCAATACATTTTTGGAGCCCTGTTCAGGCATTCATATTTACAACTCTCACCCCAGCAGGTGTAGCATCAGTGCTTTGAAAGGTTTAAATCAAGCTTTTATTTAATTCTGTAAGAGTGTGAGTCTGCCAAATTCTGCCAAATGCAGTTGCAACCTCACAGTGATGCTTATTAGATTTAATCTACGGCTCAAGAAAAGCATCACTAAAATAGGCAAGATCACAATTTTAAGGAGCTTGACAAGTTTATCATGCAGCGAGGTATTTTTGAAGTCCTACTATCCATAAGGGAATTTTGCTTCTGTCAGTGTCGGCGACTCTCTTGGGGAGGAGCGAGGAGCTGAACTGTCTCCAAGGTTACATGCCTGGCAGGGGAATGTTGAAATCGAGCCAACCCTCTGGGATGGTCTCTAGTTCGGTTGCTGTACCAGGCGGGTCCACAATAATCCAGGGACTGCTGATGGCATCACATCCAGCCTGACTCATCAGCAGGACCTGGAAGGGCAGACCAGTCACTGGGGGGAGGGAATCCTTCCACTCAGCTTCTGCTAACCCTACAAGCCAAAGAACTAATGGGTAGGAAGGCCCGAGCTGGACAAACAGCGGGAAAGCTTGCCAATATTAATGGCAAGCTATGTGGATTTAGCTGATTAGAATCCAACAGTCCAACCAACGCACATTTCAGGGTCCCCGATCCTTGGGTCTTGCCAACCTGCACCCTAATACTTTCTAGAATTAGGTAAGCAGGATGCATCCCTCCAAGGAGAGAGTGCACATTCCATTCAACAACAACAACTTGGATTTATATAGCGCCCTCCACGCCGGATGGCGTCTCAGAGCGCTTTACAGTTCAGGATCCCAGGACCGAGCCAGAGGGAGGGGTGGGAAGGTGACTGAAGGCGCAGTTGAAAAGAAAGGTCTTCAGCGGAGACCTGAAAATGGGAAGGGAGGGAGTGAGAAGAAGGGAGTGAGGAGGGCAGTTCCAGAGCCTCGGGGCATAGTGGCTGAAGGCACGGCCGCCGAGGGTGGAGCGGAGGACTTGAGGTCCAAGGAGGAGGCCAGACCCGGAGGAACGAAGACAATGGGTACTGTGCTGAGGAGAGAGGAGGTCAGAGAGGTAGGAGGCTGCAGAGGAGTGCAGGGACTTGAATACGTTCAAGTATTCTCCACCAACAATCTCAATGTATATGTGGGATGGATGGAACTTTGGATACTCTTAAGCATGGTGATGGGCTTCCCCATGTGTCAGACATCCAGCTGACAAAAAAAATAAGTGTCAGGAATTTAATGATGAATGTTTGTTTTTGTGTCAGGAAATGATGTAGTTTTACTTAAGTTTTCGTTTTTGCTTTGAAATAAAATGTATTAAAGGAAGTAATACTTCTAATTATGAAATGTTTCCTATTTTCTCTTTCAGCTGATCTAAAGAAGACAATTGCTGTCCTCCTTGATGACATATTGCAGCGCCTGGGGAAACTGGAAAACAAAGTAGACGACATTGCTACAATTGGCTCTACAAACAGCACCAACAGTACAAGTGGGAATGTTGTTCAAGCTCCTCCCAGTAAACAAGGGAATGTTCCAGGTAGCGTTAGATAGCAAGTTGGTAAAGGGCCTAGAAGACTGGATGCTGTTTTCAGTCCCCTTATGCTATAATGATCTTAAAATCCTATTGATTTTTTTGGAAGGTTTCACGTTTCTGTGCAGATCAAGTACAGTAAGTATCTGGTGCTCAACTCCATCTCAGTTTTGAGATCATTATGTATGGTTTCAATTTAAATGAGAGGAAATGGAGTTTATTTGACACGCTACAGTGCTGGAAGTAGCTGTCTGTGAATGCATATCTTTGCAAATATGGCAGATGATTCATATCAGAACAGTTAACTAAGTTCTATGATGGTGGCAAAAACATTCAGTGAATGAGAGAGTTCATTAGCAATGGGTTTGAATATTCAGAAGATGGATTTTTTAAATTCAGTATAAATGCATAAATTGCTATCCCGTACCTATGCTTTTGACTTGGAGAATCAATAGAGCATCACTCCTTAAAATATATTTTTTAAAAAAAGAAGCACTGAATAAACTAAGCATGCAAATTAACTGAGAATCGCTATTAAATCATGAATAATAGACTAGTAGTATTACATTCTTCACGTATGTGAAGTGTTCTGAGATATCATACACACGTGATGGAAATAAATTAATTATTCAACCTTCTGAAATAATCTGAAATAATTATATTTGCACTATCATCTTCAAAGCTGTACTAATTTTTAAAATGAATACTTAGTTCTAAAAACCTGGAGGTTATGAATCATTAACTAGTTTGAATAAAATCATGGGTTTTTGTCTAGATGAATAAAATTCTGTTTTCTTATTGTTTAACATGGATTTTCATTTTAATATTGGGTGTTCATCTGCTTGCTGTGCTTGCATTTGCTATGCAAGTTCACCCTGTACACAGTATACTTTTCTAGCTCATATAAAGGCAATTGATGGAAGCAGATTTAATATGCTCCTCTCCTAGTGTAATTAAAGATACATTAGTTTATAGCAAAGCATTTTTGACTTGATTTTATCAGGTATCTATCTAAGAAGTTAAAAACTGAATTGCTGCGATACTGTCTCAACAAAGCAGTGAGGAAGTTGATATTGCAGATAACATCTGTACAATTTTGAACTGGGAGAGGCCACTCATAAATTTAGTCGCTGTAAGTTTTTTTTAATTTTAAAATACATACGTTGTCTTGTTGGAGCATATTGCATTGTTTTGCTAAATTGTTTCCTATTAAGCATTGCAAATTTAAATATCTATTTACTTATTGTCAATTTGTTCTGTTTTAATTTCTTTTACTTGCTCAGCAATAAATTTCCATTTCAGGGCTTATGGGGTTGTCACTTTGTGCTTGGTTTTAGGTGTTTCTTTCATCTCTGTAGTTCCCAGAGTTCTTTCACAAACCAGCAGGTAGGAAAGCTAAGTGAAGAAATTTCACATTGCTGTATATTCAATTTTTAAAGAAAGGACCCTTTCAAAGATTGGGCAAACACTTTCCACCTTTTGAGTTTAAATTCAGTTTAACCAGATGTAATGAACAATTTCTGCACTCCATTAGCTTTTAGGGCCCTGCGTGGAGAGAGCATGAGCAATTCATAGTAAGCCTAGGCCCATAGCACAAAACTCTTCACAAATTAGTAGTCTCAGGGAGGCCATGAGGATGTTTGATGTGTGAAATGGAAAACCACTCCAATGCAGTAACACGTGCTCCTGAGATTAGGGTGAACGCCGAGAGAGTTTTAATTCTGCATCTTATGTGGTGAATTTAATGCTGACACAGTATCATTTTGCAGAATTAATGGTCCACTTAATGAGCACAGAAGTTTACAAATATTTGCTTCCTAAATAATTTCCCAACTTTCTTACTCATGGAATATTTTGCAAACAAATAATTAACCTTATCTCACAGTTGGAATATTTGATCAATTGAATTTAAGAACTAAACTCTGTTCCGTATCTATTGAAGTAAATCATTTTCCATGGGCCTGAAATAGTTTATCATATTATATCTATCACTTAATTTATTATAAACATGGGTTTCTTTTAATATTGAGTGTTTACCTGGTTGCTGTGTTTGTACTTGTTATGAAAAGTTCACTTTGCCCAATTATACTGCTCTGGCTGTTAGCTGTGTGATCACATTCATTTTTGGCTTTCAAAGCAAATGAATCAACTCTTACTTTTCTCTAGGCTTTCTTTTGCCATATGCATTTTAATTTCCATACCTTTTTAGCAAAGGTGTAGAAATTCTGAAAGGGAATCAAATTTCCATTCTATCATGGTTCTCAGATGTTGATCATATTAATGCTATCTTGTCATTTCTGTCCAGCTAGTTTTGATCACATGCATCTATTTATGAAATTATGAAGCTGATAAAATAAAAGATGAATGTTAATAATAAGCAGACACAAACAGAATAAAATGTAATGTTTTGTAGAAAATGCTAATTTCATTAAATACTTTCCTCTCACTATCATCTTGACTCACTTGATAGCACTTTTGACTCTGGGTCAGGAAATTGTAGATTCAATCCCCACATTGGGCCTTGAGCTCACAGTGTAGACTGACTGGGGGAGCATTGGATTGTTGGAGGTATGATCCTTTGGATGAGACTTTAAACTGTGCTTCTATCTGCTTGTTCATATGGACATTAAAGATCCCATAAAACTATTTGTGAAGAGAGTTTCTCCTGATAAATACTCCTCCAAGATAAAATTGGACATTCATATCATAGCTGTTTTGGGGACCTGTTATGTGCAAATTGGCTGCCGTTTTCTTGAATGCACAGTCATAACCCTTGACAATAATTATTTGTCAAGTGCTTTAAGATGTCTCAACAACGTAATAAGGCACTATATAAAATGCAAATATCATAATATTATTAGATATTTCAAAGTTTCTGTGTTATATATCAAATGCCAGGATTATTATCTGTTCTATCTGTCTTCTATGTGATATTAAAGCTCAGAGTAGTTATGCTGGTATGGACATTGCAGATAATTGTATTATTTAGTCTCTTCAAAGGATAAAGTTGTGATTAATTAATTTAATGTTGATGTTGCATTCAACAATTTCAGTAGATTTGGGGTAGATTTCAAGATGTTGCACACTAATTTGTCAAAGTGTGATTACATTCGTAGCATCATGGTTGCTGCGTTTCCTGTTATGTTGCGGAATGGAAATCTGATTATTTTCAATTAAGTAGTTATTTTATTGCTCTTTTTTTCTTGGCCGCAAGTTTTTATAATAACAGATTTCTACACTATCAACCTTTATATTGTTTTTGCTGCTTCTTCACTTGTATGATGGAGACGTGTATTTTGAAATAAAAATCTGCCAGTGCTGGATCTACCGGTATTTATTGCAATTTGCACAACTGTAGAATTACTATTACCAAATAGCTGTTTAATAGTCCAAATGGGTAAATAAATCAAAGTATTAGAATTATTTTTCCAGACGTTTAAAATGGTGGAATTGTTTAATTAATTGTTCACCTTACTTAGTTTGTGTTTTTTTTAAAAAAATCTGTACAGCAAAATAATGTGCTGCTACAAAGTTTGTTTTATTACATGTGATATTGTTTTTGGAGCTTTGTGGTTGGAAGTATCTCTAATAAACTTGATTTAAAAGGCTTACAACTTTATTTAACTTTTCTGATTTTGTCTGGTTCTTTCTTGTTTTCTGCTGTTATTTAATGTACTTGTTACTTGTCTCTCTATCCTTAATGGTGCCTGGTGCTACAGGTATTACTCTCTCCTGGTCCCAAGTGGGATTAAAGGCGTAAAATTAACTTGTAGTTTTTAAGAACTTCTAGTAAACATTATAAAATCTGCTGGAAACTGAAGGTTTTCCAGTCTGTTTTGAAGAAGGTTTGCTTGTGAATGTATTTTATGTTGTCTTAACAATTTTTAAAACTTCACTTGACAGTTTTTATATATATATATATTATATGTATGCATTTAAAAATATGGCATATAAAATTTTAGAATCAGATCTCCCAGGTTGAAAACAAATGTAACCCTAGATTTTCTCATGCCTTAGGGTGATCTTTCCATTTCTTGCCTTCTCTCATTGTGGTTTATCTGAACATGATCACCAAAATTGCAGAATAATGTTCTCTATATATGGAGAATCCAATTTTGATTTACTAAAACATTTTTTATTAGAATTAATTATTAGAATTAAAGCTCATACTTTCTTATATATGCCAGCTGGCTGATTACAATTGGCTAATTGTAGTTAGGTCAATTAGCTATGTTGAAAATATCATTACTTTGGATTTCATTTTTCTGCAGTAATACAGTACAGGGGAACATTATAGAAATATTTTATTACTATCAGTACAATTAGCTGGGGATTATGATGAGCTGTGCAACATCAGATCAATTTTGCTTTGGGTGTAGTGATAGGTTATTGGCAGAATGCAGAATTATAGATCTCCACTCTTTTATAAATAACTATTTATGGCGCATGTTCTGTTGACCTAATACAAATTGTGAGTTAAAAATATACTTTTTACTATGCTTCATCTAACAATTTTTTTTTAAATTTGGTAGTTAGGGGTAACTTGCTTGGAAATTGTATTTTACTTAAAAGAGGTGAAAGGTGCATAATATTTCACTAGATTGTTATAAAGGGAGCCCTCAAGTATCCAGTAGGATTGTGCAAGAGCTCTTTAATGAAATATAATTGGGTATTGCAAACTCTGATTTCTATTTTACTATGTAATCATCAAAAAGCAAATGTTTTTTAAAACGCATAAATGTGACAAGATCTTAGTATTGACACCTTCTGGACCTTTTCTCCCAAACTGCAAAACCACAATATTTTAACACCTGGTTGTGCTAAAGAAATTTTCACATGACAAACAAGTTCGCCAACCATAAAACTGAATATTTTTATTTTGTACTTTTGCAAAATCGTATGGTGTAAAATAAATGGATAAAAGCATAAATCTTAGTGCTTGATTTGGTTGACTTTTACGTTTTAAGAACCTCAGTTGGATTTTTGCGTTAATCCTTTTTCAGGAAGTATCACTTTTTCAGAAAAATAAAGAACGTACACAAATTATGCCAATAAGCAAAATGCATTTTGTGAATTATTTAATTGGAAGATAGTGATCCAACTCAAAAAATATTCAACAAAAAGATAATCAAGGAATAGTATGGTTCTTTAGTGTATTCATTTAAATTTATGCACAATTTATCTTTTAATATCATTCAGTACAAAACCAGATGGAATATGGTATTCCTACAGTATCAAGTCTAAAAATATTAAGAACTAAACCAATTCTGCACTCACTTTACATTTATTTATTCACATGTGAAGTTGGTTTATTGGTATGTTCAGCTATCGTACTTTCTGAATAACAATTTAAATTTCTGTCTGATGCAGGACAAATTGCAAAAATAAAATCATGAGTGTAACAAGTTGGAGATGTCTTCCAAATGTGCTTAAGTAGAAAGCATATGTTACTATTGGCACTTGGCAGTGTCAATATTTCATTTTTAGTATTAAGTGTCACAGAGCAAGCAATCTGAAATGTCTGTGTGACAAATGATTAAAATATAACAGCATATTGCAATTGTATAGCGCTTTTGGGAGGACGTCCCAAAGCGTTGGGCAGTCGGGGATTTGGACCTGAACTGGGGTTTGGGACCAAGAGAGGAGGAGGGCAGAGAGGGTAGGAAGGTGACCAAAGGACAGTTGAAGAGGAGGGTCTTGAGACGCACCTTGAAGGAGACAAGGGAGGGAGGCAAAGGGACTATGGGATGGAGTTCTAAAGGCTGGGGGCAGAAAGGCTGAAGGCCCGCCCGCCAATGGTGGGGTGAGCAGGCTGGGGGACATGGAGCAGGCTGAGTGGAGGGAGCGGACAGGTCTATATGGAGTTAGCAGCTAACAGGTCAGGAGGAATAAGGCAGTGGAGGGCTTTGAGGCGAGGACAAGGATTTAACTTATAAAGGGTAAACTCTCAATTTGAATTTATTTAGCTTCTCTACAATCATAACTTGTCAATATAAAGTTTGCAGTGAGAGATACTAATCATCTCCCAACGGTATTGAACTACAAGATCTAGTATAATGGATAGTCAACTGAATTACAGACGTGCATTTGATACTTGGGTAGCTTTGGGCATGAGTATAATTGTGTGATACACAACTGTGTCCCTCTGTATATAAAATGATATGCAATTATACAGTATATATGTGTTAGTAATGTTTCCCATAATATTTGTAACTTGCATATGAAATATATATTGGCTTTATTATTAGCTCAGTTGGTTGAAACTTTGGTCCTTTGGTTCTGGGTTTGAATTCCAATGAGTACTCTCAGCACCTTGTACCTTATAAATATCATGACTAAAACTTGCGAAACAATGTTCTAACAGGACATTGCTCGTTCGACCAGCACTTTAAATCTAACAATATCTGTGTGATAACCATTACACAGTTATAGTATAACAATGTATATAGACATATTTCAATAAGTGTACAATTCCTTAAGCGTACAAGAATCAATTGAGTTTTTACTTTTGCCTACTAACCAACCAGTAGGAAGTAAACATTTGTTGATGAACAAAGCATTAGCAAAGCATTACTATAGACATACAAGATTACAGAAAATTCTTATCGAAATTTAAATTATCAGAATAGCTGAAGAACCTGAACACTTTCAAATAGTTAACTGCTTCTTGTTGGATAACATATGTATAAACTTTAATAAAACTTATTTTTATTTCAGTGATTTCAGACCTGTGTGGTTTAACATCAATAGATGGTTTTCCACATTGTGAAGAGAAAATAATGGTGAGTAAATTATTCTTTTCAATCAGATCTTTTGTTTTTTCTGAATGATTATTAAGGTTAGAGATGTCAGTCAGTGTTTTGGAACTAGTTTAAAGATCATTTTCAAGGTCGCAAGATTGGTTTGAATGAAAAAGAGCCATCTGATCTCATCCCTCCAGAATACCCACCCAACAGAATTCCCATCATAGTATTGAGCTGCATGTGAAATTAGTCCAGCGTCCTCACCTCAACCACCCTTCCTGGCATCCTGTTCCAGTTGTTAGCATTCTTCACAATTGATAGCTATAAATGAAATCCAGACTCAGTTTTTTTTGACTTGGGTATCTAGTAACTATGTAGCTATCAAAGAAACATAAGTTGAAATGAGTGTGCTACTCAACATCACACTACTTTTTTTAGGAAATGGCATCAAGGAATTACACATTGCTGGAGTTGGCCTGCTTGAGTACAGATTTATTTCTTCACCAGATAGTGGCCTAAAATATTTTTCTCTGTTAAAAATGAATTAAAAATCAGTATGCTGTCTAGGAATCCCAAAATAAACAAGACACAAAACAATTGAATTAACACGCTGCGTACCACATTTGCAATCCCGGTGTTTCGGATCATTTTTTTTATTCATACATAATGAATGGATAATTGTATATTCTCCTGCTGTCTCAATGCTATAATTTTCTTACCCCTCTCCCATCTTATTTTTCTGCAGTGGATGAAGGAGATGTGGCAGTCTGAATCTTGTTATGCAAATTATGGTGTAAATGGATCTACGTGCTCATTTATTGTTTATCTCAGTGAGGTAGGTGTTGCATCTTTATACATGAACTGTTTTAATATGAAGATTGGTATACTCATTGAATTACAGGTTAACATTGGAAAAGAGAATACTTTTTTGTATCCAGTGCTACCATTCGATACTCCCAGGTCAGATATACCACAAATGCAAAAGAGTTCCTTCTTTCAACTTGCCCATGTTTGCTATTTATACATTTAATTACTGTCCTATCTACTTCCATTTTGCATGAACAGAATCACTCCAAAATTCTATAATTGATTTATTCATGTTAAAAGGTTTATCATTATTTAATATTATAGTTGGAGATAATTGAGTTAAGTAGTTGGGGATAGAGTTATTGATCAGCTTCCCAATAACCACATTCTGATATTTAGTTTGACGTGACGATTCGTAGTGTGTTGAAATACTCATTCTAATTCAGACTAAGTTAATTAGAAATCAGTGGTTATTTGTTACTGATACGGGACTTCATGGAGTTTTGTCCTTTTTTTAAATAAATAGCAAAATACACATTACATTTTTGTACTGTACTTTAGTAGTTCAGACAACAGAAACCTCTGTTATTGGCAAACAAATTACATTTGGAATGTGATTTGTTTGATGTGTTCAAAATATTTTACACAACATTTTTGGATATACGAGTGTATCAACATTCAAAACAGATTCACATAGGGCGTGTTATTCCTGTTTGACTGGCCATTGCCAACAGTGGAATAATAACATGGCATCTGTATTGCTGAAAATCAATTTTTTTGTTATTGTAACAAAAGTAAACTCTTTGCAAAGTGTTAGTCACAGATATTAGGCAACTCAAATTATAAATAGCTGAATTGATGCATACTCCGTGTAAATGGGTAATCTAATCTGCCAATGATGCTCTAGGGCTCCTCTTGCTTTATTGTTATCTTCGTAATAAGATTTTTAAGATTGCACGAAAATCCTTTGTACAATAGGGAACATGTCTCATGTAAAGTACCAGTGAACATCTATGCACCCTTCATATTTATTCGAATTGTACCTTCATTGAAACTGAAACATTTGAAATAGTTCTGTATAAATGTCCAATATTAGATTGAATGCTCACAGTTCTGGGGTCAATTTGAACATTTAACTTTTATTACGGGATAATAATCTATGCACTGAATTATTCCTATGTGATATTTATCCATCGATAGCCCTTTGGATAGCAGGATTGTGGACAAGTCTATATCACCAAGTCTCTCTGATGACCCAAACAAGCTTGTCACCCATCAGGAATGCATTAGATTGCCAAGGACCTGCTTGGCATTTATCAGAATCAATTTGAACTGGGATTCAAACCCACAACTTTCAGATCCAAGATAAACTAACTGATCTATCTAGGATGGATGCAAAACTGAACTACTAAGGATAAATGTTGTACTTTGACAACAAAGTTGGATAAATGTTGTACTTTGACCACAAAATTACCCAAATAAAAAAAATATAAACAGTATTTCTTTAATTTAATATTCCTTTATTTTCTTTATTAGGTATCTGTTTCCCATTGTTTCTCTTGACCATTTGTTTCACTTTTAATTATTTTACAGATTGCATGAAGCTTTGTCTGCTTGGCTGATTTGGGGAGGATAAAGAAAGAGCGAATGAGAGAGACAGTGAGAAAGAAACAGATACAAGACAGGGCAAAGGCAGCAAAGAAACCGATCTATAAGCAAAGGCAGTAAAAATACAATTAAGTTTAGAAGTAAAAACTTGCCAGAGAAACTAGGATGGGAGCAAATGCTTTTGAAAACAAGACATTTGAAAACATGGCTTGTAGGGAAAAACCAAGCCTCAGAGGAAAGGCACAAAATGGGTTGTACATTTCAAAATAATGAACAGTGCAGAAGGAGACAAATTAATTGAAATGATTTTTCACCATGAATAAGATTGCCACAATGTTACTCAGTTCAAAGCACGCTGCAAGCTCTACTTGGACAAGGTACTGGAAGGCACACAGTGAAATTTGTCACAGTGCAAATCCATGCCTTCAGGAGAAGAGGGAGAGAAAATACTTGTAATAAATAAAACGAGCTGCCAATTAAAGCAATTCTCAAACATTTACCAGCATTATTATGGGTGAAGAAATTATTTTGAAGAAAGGGAAGATTAAGAGACAAACAAGAGACGGGAGAAGTTGTAATGGGGGATAAGGACATGACAGAGTCCTTAAATGGGTACTTTGCATCTGTCTTCACCCGAGAAGACACAACAAGTCTGTCAACAATAGACATCACCAAGGGGATAAGGACAAGGAGCAACTTAGGGATATTTTCATTATTAGAGAATTGGTGCTAGGGAAACTGTTAGCACTAAGAAGTGACAAATCCCCTGGTCCGGATGGCTTGCATCCCAGGGTTTTAAAAGAGGTAGCTTATGAGATAGTGGAGGCCTTATGTCTGATCTTCCAAAATTCCTTGGATTCTGGAACAGTCCCCATGGACTGGAAGATCGCAAATGTCACACCACTATTTAAAAAAGGTGGAAAGGAAAAGATGGGGAACTATAAGCCAGTTAGTCTCACATCAGTGATAAGAAAATTTTTAGAATCATTGATTAAGGATGTGGTAGTTCGGTATTTAGGGGGGGCACAATATAATTAGGCCAAGTCAACATGGCTTTACAAAAGGGAAGTCATGTTTGACAAATCTCGTAGAGTTTTTTGAGGATGTTTTGAGTAAACTAGATAAGGGTGAATCAGTGGCTGTGGTCTATTTGGACTTCCAGAAGGCATTCGATAAGATGCCACATAGAAGGTTAGTCCAAAAGATAGGGGCCCATGGAATTGGGGGGAGCATATTAACATGGATTGGGGAATGGTTAACGGGTAGGAAACAAAGAGTAGGGATAAACGGGTCCTTTTCAGATTGGCGGGATGTGACTAGTGGAGTGCCACAAGGATCAGTCCTTGGGCCTCAGCTATTTACCATCTACATCAACGATCTAGATGAGGACATCAAAGTTAATATATCTAAATTCGCGGATGACACAAAACTAGGAGGAAGTGTCAACACAGAGGACAACATTAAAAAAATGCAGCGAGACATAGATAGGTTAGGTGATTGGGCAGGTAGGTGGCAGATGAAGTATAATGTAGGGAAGTGCGAAGTCATCCACCTCGGTAGCAAAAACAGTAGAGCGGGTTATTTTTTAGAAGGGGAGAGATTGGAATGTGTTAGCGTCCAGAGGGACTTGGGTGTCCTTGTACACCAATCACAGAAAGTTAGTCTGCAGGTGCAGCAGCAATTAGGAAGGCGAACGGTATGTTAGCATTCATTATGAAAGGATTAGAGTATAAGAGTAGGGAAGTTTTGCTGCAACTGTATAGGGCCCTGGTGAGACCACACCTGGAATACTGTGTGCAGTTTTGGTCTCCTCATTTAAGGAAGGATGTACTTGCCTTGGAGGGGGTGCAGAGTAGATTTATTAGGTTAGTACCAGGGATGAAGGGGATGAGTTACGAGGATAGGCTGACCAATTTGGGCCTATATTCTCTAGAATATAGAAGAATTAGAAGGGATCTTATAGAAACCTATACGATCATCAAAGGACATGATAGAGTAGATAGTGGGAGATTGTTTCCCCTGGTTGGAGAAACTAAAACCAGGGGTCACAACCTTAAAATCAGAGGCCAGCCCTTTCGCACTGAGTTGAGGAAGAACTTCTTCACTCAAAGGGTGGTGAATATATGGAACTCGCTACCCCAAAGGGCTGTTGACGCTCAGTCCTTGAACATATTCAAGACTGAGATAGATTTCTTATTACAAAAGGGATTAAGGGATATGGGGATAAGGCAGGGTCAGGTTATTAGCTGGAGTTAGATTAGAAGATCAGCCACAAATGAATGCCGGGGGAGGATCGAAGGGCCAAATGGCCTACTCCTGCCCCTACATGTTATGTTATCAAGAGTGGTGTGATTGGCCAGAGCATCGGAGCACTTGCAACCCAGCAAGGCAGGAGTTTGTACCTGTGGTCTTCCACTTTCTGACTCATTGATATAAGTTCTACTATTGTGGGGAAGATCTGAGAAGAGGCTAGGATCTTGCCCACTGATATGAGAGAGTCATTCAAGAGCTCTTGATGTGTAGTTCCGAGCAGCTAGTTTCAGCAAGGCAGAGGCTGCAAGTCGGTACCTTGACTGCCCTGTTGGTTGAGAATGGAGCATGGAAGAAATAAGATTAATTTGGGGAGATGAGGAAAATAACTCTTTGTATTTTGAAAAAAGTGGTTTTGTTGCCTTCAACAGAAAGGAAGTGGTATTCTATATGTTGCTTCTGATTAATTTAATATATATTGATTGTGCAATTTACACATTTTTTTCAGGTTGAGAATTTTTGCCCTATGCATCCAGTAAGAATAAGGCAAATTGCAGATGACACTGCCTTAAAACCCAAGGTAAGAGAACATCCTGTTATTAGTGTATATTTAAGACGTGTTTTGAAATATCTCATTATTTTAATAACCAATTAACATTGTGGAACTTCTTTATAGTTAGCTTGGAGCGCTAGTTTTGCTTAACTTTTCTATAAATACAGAAAATATATATTTGAATCTCCAAGTGCAGGAAGATTTTTGCTAGTTATTCATAACTTGGTGATAATTGTGTTTTGTGTCTACACCAGAAATCACAAATTCATGTGGTGATGTTAGTACCTGATAATCAGAAGCTAAATTATTAAATGAGTTTGATTTATTGTGATTATTTTCTGCACTTATGTACATACTGGATAGCAAAATCAGATGTTTACTTGGGTGCCTAAAGATTATATTTAGATATACCTTAGATAATTGTCATTGAAATGTGATCAGAAAGCAAGGAAATAGAACTATTTGATAATATAGGATATCTAAACCCAAAGATTGTTGGGTTTAGTTCTGATACATTGATATTTTCCTTGCTATTAGGTACAAATTTTGGCTAGTCTGGAAGGTTTGATTGAATTACTATCTTCACGAGAAGAACTTTTATGGATAAAACAACGAATACAAAGGATGGAAGGAAAATGGATAACTGCTTTAACATCTTTGGTTAAAAAGCAGAATTTAGAACATCAACCAAAGAAAAAGGTACATATTGATCAATCTAGATGGTCACAAAAATTCATTTTTAAAAAAAAGCATGTTTGTAACTATGCAAAGAGAGCTTATATTTTTATTAAAATCGTGCGTTGCTGACAATATCAGCATCTATCAGATCTATCAATATATACAAAATACATTGGCAACTGCTCTCAGTCAACTCCATCCCGGAATCCCTTCACCTCAGTCCCTCCCTTTGCCTCTTTCGAGGCCCATCTCAAGACCTTTCTCTTCTCCCATACCTTCAGTCATTCTCCCAGCCCCACATCCCCTGCCCTCCATCCCTCTTGATTCCCACCCCCAACTTGGGTGCAAACACTTGACTGTCCCAACACAGTCATCCCGAAGTCATTAACAACAACTTGCATTCATATAGCACCCTTCACGCAGGGCAGCGAGCTTGATAGTGGCGGAGTCTGACCCTGAGCCCAGAAAGGGAGTGAGGAGTAAGCACAAACAAAAAGGAAGGTCTTTAGGTGAGATTTGAAAGCGGGATTGGGGAGGGAGGAGCGAGTCGAATGGTTTGAAGGAGAGAGTTCCAGAATTTTGTGGTAGGAGCCGTGATAGGAGGAGAGGGTGGAAGGAAGCGTGGGGGTGGTAGGTGACAGGGATGTTGGGGAAGGAGGAGGCAGCCAGGCAGATGTTATCTATCATAGAGATGAAAAACTCCAGGATCTCTTCGCACTTGGCATCTGAAGTAAGGATCGAGGGTGCTTGAGAGGGGAGTGGAGGAAGTGCTGGGTAGTGGAGAACAGGATTTGGGGGTTGTTTTTGGCTTTGAGAATGTCCTATGAGTAGTAAGCGGTTTGGGCTTGAGAGAGGGAGTGGTAGTAGGTATGAAAATGCTCGAACCACAATTGGTGAACTATGAAGCTGGTTTAGTGCCATCTGTGCTTGCGCAACCGGGTTTGGGATGTGAGGGAGCGGAGATGATTGTTATACCAGGGGGAGCAGGTAGGCTTGGACATGGATCTAGTTTTCAGGGAGGCAAGGGAATTGAAGGTTGAAGAGAGGTGATTGTTTCGCAGCTTGACAGCTGTGTCTGGATCACTCCGGATGGAAGGCCAGAGGGAGAGAAGGTCTGAGGATCAGACCGTGGGCAGAAAAAGATGGTGGAGGGTTTGGAGGAGGGAGGATGATAGGAGAGGGAGATGAAGAAGTGGTCTGAGATGGCCTTGTCTGTGATGGACAGATCAGTGATGTCTAGACCATGGGTGATGATGAGGTTGAAAGGTTTGCTATGGTTGTGGGTCAGGGTGTTTCCACGAAAGGCACTATATAAATGCAATTTGTTGTTGATGTCCTTTGTTTAAATGAGGGACCCACATTGTATTCCATTTACGGCCTGCCCAATATTCATCTTAATTGACTCATTTCAATGAGTCAGTATTTGATATACCTGGAGTCAGTATTTATGGAAACAAAATTATTGTTTCATTTACTTTATTCCATTTTGATTGATGTTAGAACTAATTTGTGTTTTTTTTGAAGATTTTATTGCATTTAGGTCTTTTGACAAAGGAATCGGGATTTAAAATAGCTGAGAACGCTTTTAAGGGAGGTCCACTTGGAGAGCTGGTTCAGTGGAGTGACCTGATCGCCTCTGTTTATTTACTAGGTCACTCCATGACACTTTCTACATCAGTGATGGAGCTGAAAAGGTAAAATATACTGCAACCTACACAAACATTTGGATAAATCTCTTAACAGATAAACAAAGATTGATGTCAAGATTGGAATTAATTAGTTGTCTGACCATCCTCTTCATTTCAGTTTTTTTGCTATAGATTTTGCTTGAACTAAATACAACAACTTGCATTTATGTAGGGCTCCTCATGCAGGGTAGCGTCCTAGAGCTAATTTCCTCTCCCATTTATTGACAAAATCTGCCTCCCTATAGCTAGTCAGTTCCACTATTCTACAAACTAAATGAAATATGAAAATAGATTTAAAACAAATATTCTTGCTTTATCTTTTAGTTTGGGATTGACTAAAGTAGACTTAGAATGAAAACATTAAAAATGCAGAGAATTAGCCACTGCCCCAAAACTTTAGAGCTCTCTCCCCCAGCCCCTCTGCCTTTCCCACTCCTTCCCCATTTTCAGATCACACCTGAAGGTCTGCCTCTTCAACCATGCAGATGGTTACCTCCTACCAACTTGCCGTCAGGCTGTTAAATGCTCTGAGATGCTACACCGTGTGAAGGACATTATATAAATCCGAGTTGTTGTTGTGGTAATTAGGCTCCATATGTGTTAGCTTTTAAAAAAAAATTTCTGTAGTCTGCACTGTAGAGTGTTCATAAATATGCATCAAGCTGGTGGTGTCACCAGAGTGAATGGTGAAGCACAGACTGACCAGGGTCAGAGAGAGCTGGAGAGTAGGAGGAATCCACAAGAGTATTCAAATCAATCAACTAAGAATTCCACACGTGTCCAGCAGTTGTTGGCCCAAACCTCAGAATTTACTCATCAGCTACTTGGCAAACATCTGCCTTCAGGATGGTGGGAGAATCCAAACACAACAACTTGTGTTGTGCCAGCCGCCTTGAAGTTCTCATGGTCTAAATCTAGTGCTGTGTACTAGGTTCATTCCACACTAACTGCTTAATCCAAGCAGTTAAACCTAAACCCCCTCTTGTGAGGGGCTTTGGTAAATAGATGTGCCATCTATAGGCATGTTTACTGTTGGGCCCGGGATTGATGACTGGGATATAGTAAACTGGAACATGACTGCAACAAATTGTAAGGGAGGTTGAATAATAAGGATCTTACATATGTTGACAATACATGCAAATTGATTTTCTATTTAAATTTCTTGTCTGTGGCTATATATTTATTGTACTTTAACCACTTATTGATAATGAACCTTCAGTCATTTTTCTCCCCAGTTTCTCTACCTCGCCTCCATTAATAATAACAATAATAATCTTTGGATTTGATATAATGCCTTAGAATGTCATTGAGACTTCTCAAAGTGCTTCACAGTACCTACTGTTTACAGAACCTATGGATTGACTGTGTATTTTGTGGGCAAAATGCTGCAGCCAATTGCACACAATTCTATCTACAAATTACTATAAATAAATTATAATAAATTCTAAAGGTATCTAAAATACCATTCTATCTAGAAAATCCCATCTTAAAACTTACCGCTTTGACTGTGCCTATGACCTGTTTCCCCTTCTTCCTACATTGGCATCCAACCCCCACCACTGTGAACCACTCCTGAGATTATCCTATGTGAAGGGCATTGTATAATGCAAGTCGTTTTTTGTTGTGAATCCATGAATGGTAAAAACATTTTTATTTTAATTGTTTGGGTTAGTCACTTGAGCACCCTCACTGGAAATACTGCTGGATGTCCTATCAGGGGAGAAAAGCTGCTGGACCTTATATACATTGACATTGTAGGTTTAAAACAACTGAACAGTATACTTGGAGCATCCTTTACCCATTATCGGTAAGACTATGTGCACTCTTTTGCTTCATTCATATTATCAAGATCTGTTATTTAATGAGTAATTTTCTCATACCTCAGGCCTCCAACTTCTCTCTCATTATCACAAACTTTATTGTCTTTCTCTATTTTGTTACAAATTACAAATTGCCATTCTAGATGTTCTTGAATCCCATTCATTCTCATGTTGTTGCATTTAAGATTCATGGTACCATCTCCTTGTTTTAACTCATTCTTTTCCCAGATCCTCAAGAAGGTAGAATTCCTCAGTCTTTTCTTTCTATGTGCATTGGAGTCCTGTAGCTCAGTGGTTAGAGCACTCGCTTTGCAAGTGAGAGACCTGAGTTCAATTCCAGGCAGGTCAGGGCGAAACCTTGGGCAAGTTTCCTTACTCCACACAGAGCCTAATAATAATCCCTCCAAAAAACAAAAACAATAATAAATTGGTCATTTTCAATCTACGACTGTTTGTGGGACATTGCTGTGCGCAATTGGCTGCCGCGTTCGCCCACAAATATACAGTCAATTCACTTTACAGTGTGTTCTGTAAAGCGCTTTGGGACGTCCTCCCGACGTGAAAAGCGCAATATCAAATGCAAGGATTATTATTATTATTTAAAATGAAAGCTTCCCTTATTGTCTTGTTCTTGCCTCCACTTCAGTTTTGAATTAATCTTGTACTATGTTACTTGGGTTTCTAAATTCAATCTAATAATCTCTGCATAGGAGTGCAGACAAGCAATACTGTTTTTTTTGAGTTGTGTGAGGGCTAAGGCAGTGAGACTGGCAAGTAAGAGCAGACTGGCAAACAGAGAGAAGCAGTCTGGCAAATTGACATATGCTAATTAAACTCGGGTGCTTCTGAGAATTAGATAATGTGCAAGTTTCATCCATTTCTAGGAACATGAGTAATCACCACTGCTATTATTTTGCCTATTCAGTTGTTTTGTGTATGTGTCCCTTTTGTGTGTATGATATCTATTCAGCTTTAAATATTAGAAGGGCTTTTACCATTTATTATGCTTTTGGTCATTTCTATTATTTTTAAGCATTTCTGGATTGTTTAGAACTATGGAACCATAGAAATTTAAGTCTCAGAAGGCCATTCGGTCTGTGCTGGCTCTTTGAAAGGTGTAGTGTTGTAGGAGTTGTGCAACACGTTCCTATGCCACTGAATTACTGGTCTCACAAGTTGCTGTGTAGCATTGGAAAGCAAAGTCAGGCTGAGGATCACTCACAAATAATAAAGCAGTCTCAAAGGTGGAGGCAAATGGACAGTTCACATATCATTTGTTCAGCCACAGTTAGTGCATGGCTGCCAGAAACACCAACAAATAATGAAAGATACCTTTTAGACATTATGCACCTTCTGAGATATATAAAATGAACATGAGGTGGAAGAGAACAGTAAGCTACATGGAATGGTTGGAACAGTGTTGTAGAATCAGTGTAGATTTAGGGAAATTTCGATGTTTAGGTGTCATACATATGTGGAATTCTTTCTGCTTTAGATGATCTCAGCATGGTGATGGATTTTTGCATGTGTCAGATGCCAGACTAACCAACAGAATATATTCTCAATTTCAGACATTTTATTTGAACTAACCAGAGGTGCACAGAGAAGACTATCTGTGCATCAGCAATCAATCCACAAATGATGGTACAATATGAGGAACTTGTCATTCATGAATTCTCACCTAACTTATCTGAATAGTATATCCCTAGGGTTAGCTGTGCTCAAGCCTAGTGCACCTCTTTTTGGAATGACATGTTGTGTCAAGATCATTGTGTGGGAGAGGGAGGAAGAGAGCGAGGTCTTGCTGAAAGCATGCATATTTTGCCAATTCTAAAGCAGCATCAAGGTCCTCACACTCACAGAAAATCTCTTCATGACCTAGCACCTTCCTAAATCTCTGATTTCCTTGAATCCTACTCCTCTGCCCGCCTACTCCGCTCATCTAACACCGGCTGTTCTGCACCACCATTGGTTGACGAACCTTCAATCATTACCAAATTGTTGTTACTATTGTAAATGTTCAAGGACCGATCTATGACACTGGCAAACGCTGCATGCGGTATACCATACAATATACATTTATGTAGCACCTTTGATGTCAGTAGGACTCTCAAAGTACTAAACATGAGCTGGGGGTGGGAGCCAAAGGAAGTGGGCAGGGGATAGATGACCAAAAGCGAAGTACATCTTGAGGTATGGACTTTGAATGAGGTGAAAGAGTCAAACAAGATGAGAAGGTGCCGACGGGAGCCTCGCAGGAGAGCCTCTGTTATAAACTTATATATAGCTGAAGTTAGAGCTCATTAACAGCAGGGGTCCTGGAGTAGAGGATGGAGGCAGAGAGATAGAGTTGGGTGCTATCCGCATACATTTAGAAGTGAACCTTACGTCTGCTGATGATGTCACCAAATGGGAGGATATAGATTGTGAAGAGGAGAGGACCAAGGAATGCGCATGTCATTGTGTGGGAGCAGGAGGACATACCATTTGATGAGACAAAATGGAGATGTTGGAATAGGAATGAAACCAGAATAGGATGAAACTATCAAGGTGAAGCAGAGAGGAGAGATAGTAGAAAAGAATGGAGTGGTCACAGATGGAAATAATGTTGTTTGTGACTTTGACCAGGGCAGTCTTTGTGTTGTGGATTGGGTGGAATTCGGATGAGAGGGACTCATGCAGAGAGTTCTGAGTTCACAGTTTTCTCTCATGTCATATTAGTTTTATGTTCCTCAAAGACCTGAGCAAGTGATCGTTCCTGAAAAGTGAACGAGGACCCGCTGAATCTGAAATAAAAACAGAAGTTGCTGGGAACACTCAGCAGGTCACGTTTCATGAAACACTGAAACGTCATCGCTGAAACTCACTTTCCTCTCTCCATAGATGCTGCCTGAGTGTTCCAAGCGACTTCTGTTTTTATTTCAGATTTCCAGCATCTGCAGTATTTTGCCTTTGGCCCATTGAATCTGAGTTGCCAATTCTTTTCTAACAAAAGTATGCAGGTCAGGGGTAATAGATTCTTTTCAGCCCTGGTTGTTTTCGTGCTTCAACTTCCTGGTATACTTCATTACCAACTGTTTTTATTGTTCCCATTCAATAAGCACAAATTTGACAAAACTATTTTGCACATTGTTGTAGTTTTAATTTCCATGGTGTTTCATTTTTAAACCAATAAAACCAATTAAATACTCAAAAAANTTAAATACTGAACAAAACAGTTCATCTTGCTGACAGTTTGGGAGTGTAGATCAGGAGCAATGGATTGTTTTGAGCCCCTTTGTAATTTTTAAACTTTAACTTCCTGATATACTCCATTACCAATAGTTTATGTTGTCCCAACTGAATAGAGACAAATCTGCCAAAACAGGATGTTCCATATTGTTGTAGTTTCAATTTACATGGGCGTTTAATTTTAAATGAAAAGAAGATAATTAAATAATGAATATAGTTCATCTTGTTAACAGGTTATAAGTGCATATTCCAATGTAGTGTTGCTAGTTTTCAAACAGGTAATATTCTTTGTAGGTGTGTGCTGCGAGTTCTTGATTCCTTTGGAACTGAGCCAGAATTTAATCACGCTCAATATGCCAAGAAGAAAAACCATGGGTCGCCTTGGGGTAAACTCAATCTGATCCCAAAACAGTTCTACAACATGTTTCGTAAGTACATTACTCAACCAGCTCATTCATTGGTTTCTTTTACATGAAATTTGCACAATCGCCACTTTGGTGGGGTACTGGAGGGCAACCAATATCAATTGGAACTGCACTGCAGGAGGCTATGGACCAGTAATAAAGGCATACATTATGCTTTGTGGAATCCTGTAACTTGGTGGTTAGAGCACTCGCCTCGCAAGCAAGAGAACTGGTTCTGTTCCCGCAGGGCGAAATGTTGGGCAAGTTTCCTTATTCCACATGCCTCTGTTTAGTTAGCAGTAAGTAGGAACCCAGTTGTTAGTCGATTGGCGGATTGCTTTTCCGGGGGTAATAATTCCTTCCAAAAAAAAATAATAAATTTTTATCCACACTCCCAATATCTGATGAAATAATTAGGCAGGGTTGAGATTGAAGTCTCAGGACTCCCTTTTTCCTATAGAACTGAAAACAAGGGACTGAAGTCAAGGGACTTTTGTCAATCTCAACAGAAATCCTAATATTTTATAAATATATATGAGAGAAAATAATCCTCAGACCACCAAGACCAAATTGTTACCAGCTGACCCCTGCAATCGGATCATCTGATTCACTGGCTGTTTTAATCCTGTAATTGTAGAAATAGCAAGCAGATTTATAACCTGTACATTTCAATTAAGAAAGATTAATTTACACTATTTTCTGATGTGTTTACAGCCCACACACCTGACAACAGCTTCCTGGGCTTTGTGGTGGAACAGCATTTTAACAGTGATAACATCACTCAGCTTCGTAAAAACCAAAGGACTAATAAAGCTCTGGTTTATGGTAAACTGGCAGAGTATTGGGAGGTATGCACTTTTGCCTATTATTATCAATAATTCTTGGAACGACGTAGCACCTTATCACACCATTAAGTGTCTCTAATTTATTGTGTATTTGTTGGCAATTGTAAATGTTCACTGAATGTGGAACAATGTGTTAGCACATAGCCCTGGAACTTGAAAACTAGATGAAGAAAGGGGTTAATGAAACTCATAAGAATAAAACTGAATGAAGCCAATGGGATAATATTAGCCTGTCTGCTGACTTCAAACAAAATAATAGAATTCTGCCCCAAAATAACTTATTTAGTTTGTACATTGGTAGTTTAATTATTCATTGTACCCTGCCCCAAAAATGAATGAACTTCTGTACTTATCAAGGGTGATTGGCAAGGTATTGAAGATTTTGTAAAATAAATAATAATTAAAATATCAAAAACTGAAACTGCTAATGCAATGTACTTAAAGGATATTAGCACCTCTTTTAAATGTGATTATTCCTTTTAAACTGTAAGGAGGAGCATTAAAACTTACAGATAGATGCAAGCCAGATGTGCACCCTATTATTTTTATATTGGTGCAAAATAATCAAAGTGGAGGCTCATCAGCTCTGCCTGTGACACTGAGGCAAGCTTCATTGTTGATAGATTAAGGTTAGTCAATGTAAAATTACATTGTTTACCAAGATTAAATTTTAATATCAGTATTTTGGAGACATTTAAGAGGCTACATTATGTTTCCACATCAAGACATGAACTCATAGTCTAGACTGACACTTCAGTTAAAATGATTGTTCACCAATCATGGTTGTTTGTAACCTCTGCATTTGACTACAATTGCCGGAGATTGCTGTAAAGCATTTTTAGATGTTTCAACATGATAAACGTCTGTAAAATGCAAGTTTTCTTTCTGATTTTACAGGCTACCACATACAGTGGAGCCATTTGTAATGTTTTAGGATACATAAAATTTCAACCTGAATGGTTACAGTGAAGCCAACAGCAGATTTGATTGAGCATTGATCCAACACTCAAAGACAAAATGGCAGTTTACAGGTCATGGGGTCACTGCCAGCATCACTTTCTGTTTGCTGCACATTCACAAAGCACAAAGGGATATTGCAGAAACCGAATGACCCAGAATTCAGCCATTTTATTATTATGATTATTTACTTATTCATTTTAGTACAGAAAGCTAAACTGGCAACGTCCAGGTAATTACGTCTCCGCCAACATTGCTTCTTACTTTGCACATATCCAGCAAAGCAGGAAGTTATGTTGATTGCCAATGAATGACCCAGAAGTCGACCTTTTTAGCATGAAGAGTCAGCTGGGAGCGAGCAGTGCCGACTGCATACATGAGCAGTCAGTTGGAGTGAACAGTGCAACAATGTAAAAAAACAAATACTCTCTATAATAAATCACGTTATAATGAGGCTGTATTGTAGATTATGGCAGTGAATTGTGCTCTGTGATGTCCGAGATGCTATCCTCCATGAAGGGTGCAATATAAATCCAAGATGTTGATGTTTTGTTAATGTTGAAATAAGTAAATAGGATCCCAGAAAAAAGTATTATAGCCTCCAATTTTTTTATAATTTTCCACAACCTTCTCAGCAACCCCTCTCATAATGACTGGAGCAATTAATGAGAATAGATGAGATTTGTTTGAGCATTTTAACAAAAGATGCTTGCACTTTTGTAATATTCTACTTGCTTTCTTCTCATTTTCACAGGATAAAACCTCTTACCTGGATATTGTCAGAAAAAAAGCTGAGGTCCATGGTACATTTCACAATGAACATAGAGTACAGATACCGGACTATGTTGTCAATCATGGAATTCTCAATGGGCTAAACCTTCAGCTCTTGCTAAGCAAGTCTAAGGTTCGTAAAATAAATTCAGAGGGTATACGGGCATCACATTTAGGTAATAATAACATAATACATAGTGAATTCAAAAATACTAACTCAGCAGTGATTTCAGCAAATCATGAATGCAGTTCAAATTTAAATGCAACCAATAGTTAATATTCTATTATATAATGTAGTTGTGTGTGTGTGCGTTGTGAAATCGTGCAACATAAAGCGACAGTCACAACCAAAACCTGCTTAACAAATCTGAATTGAAACCCAATTGTTGCTGGGCTTTTAGAGCATGTTTCAACCTATAATTTGAAATAGACCTGGTTCACTTTGATCCTAAAAGACTGGCAATGTTGCTGATTTTTGTACTAGGTAGAGAAGAAAGCCCTGCACAAGACAACATCGTTTTCCCTTTCCCTCATCCAGACTGACAGTGAAGTAGTGTTTAACAAAACATTTCTCAACAGGTTAGTTAGGATTTTTTTTAGGTTAAATCAGTATTCCCACTCAAATGCAGATCCATGCAGTAGCAATTAAAAATGGTCCTTAATAGCTGCAACAAGTGGTTTTGGGCAAATCTATCTGAATATAGTTGTGGAGGTTTTCTCCCTTTGTGGCAGTTATTAACTAGGGTGTCCCAACCAATGGAATGTTTCATGATACGTTGTCTATTTTTTCAACCAAAGATTTATATCTAATGCAGAATGACTTAGTTTTATTTAGGGTGAGACTCCACTCTCCTTTCCCTTTACTCCAAGAGGATTAACCTAAAAAAAAATTCCTAGCTGAGAGGGCACTATGCTCTGTGTCCTACTCCCAGGTCCTGGCCAATAATATCACTATGAAGCAGGTCACTGGAAGGCTATCCAGAGCAGCCTTTGCTGATCCGCCTCTTATTTACGACTCTGCCACTTATTTACCTCCTTGCTGTGTGAGCAGGGCAAAGAGGTAAATAACAGTTTATTTACAGTAAGTACTTGACAGCGCCCCGAGTAGAACAATACAGATCAGCAGAATCTTAAGCCTTAAAATGCTGTTCCACCTTGTTGACCCAAATATATTTGGTATTTCTCTTTGGATGCTGTTATAATTTTTTTAAAAAGATTCTCCAGAGATCATCAACAAGAAATGCGGTGGGAATGGAAAGCACTCCGGTTGAAAATGTTTACTTGCTTTGGGCACACATCACTCACAGCACTAAATTTGAACCACCTCTACTTATCATTGATCATAATCGCTTCAGTTTATACATGAGCAGGCAGTTGGAGTGAACAGTGCAACCATGTAAAAAAATACAAATCCTCTCTATAATAAATCATGTTATAATGAGGCTATATTGTAGATTATAGCAGCAAATTGTGCTCTGTGTTGTCCGAGATGCTATCCTCCATGAAAGGTTGCAATATAAATCCAAGACGTTGATGTTGTTTTGTTAATGATGAAATAAGTAAATATGCTGAAAAGTTTAACTACTTGACACTCGAATGACACAATTCAATTGAAGGGATTAATAATTTTGCTTCCTTTCGTTTCTGTGAATATGATTTCTTTGGATATGCTTTCTCGTTATGAGTTAGATCTGTAATGCATAGCAAAAATAAGGATTTACATTTGTTCAGCAGTTGTCACATCAAGAGGCACCTCAAACTGCTTCACATAGCTGACTGGCAGGGGGAGCTGAGGAGGGAAGGTTGCTGAAACAGAATTCAAAAAGATGGGTCTAAGGGTGGATTTTGCAGACAGGAAGGAATAAGCAAAGCGGAGGGACTCCCAAGATGGAGTATCAGAGAGTAGGGGGGTAGAACAGTTGAAAGATTGCCCGCCGATGATTGGGCAAATCAATATTTTAGTATACATGACTCATGCTTAAAAAAGGGCACCATATTGATGAAAAAGTGTTTTGCAAACCTTTTTGTCATAATGTTATCAATCATTTGCGTGTGAAGCAAATTGCCTGCCCATCTGGTGGAACAAGGAGCTATGAAGGATTTCAAAAAGGAATTGATGAGATAGATGTGCCAAACAAATCTTTTCAAAAGTTGGATGAGTAGGCTGAATGGACCATTGGTTTATTCCTGCCTGAAATGGTTACTATCTTAGGACATAGGAATAGGAGTAGGCCATTTAGCTCATTAAGATTGTTTTGCAATTTTATTAGATTTCAGCAAATATTTAAATCCTATTTCCCCACCTTTTTGTGATATCTCTTAATAGTTTTACTTCCTGAGTATCAATCTCCGTTTGATTATTTAGTTATTATTTGAGTATCAATCCCAGTGTTGAGGCCATCAATTCTCCAGCTAAATTGGTTTTGCACCTTAAATCTGTTTGTGAGACCTTGTGATACACAACAGCTGCCGTTGCTAAAAAAAAGTCACTACATTTAAGCACTAGAAATATTATTTGGAGAACTATATTGGAATAAAAATATTATTTGTAAGAAAATTTTGAAAGAATTAAGATGATAATAGTAATAATAATCCTTACATTTGTTATAGCGCCTTTCATGTTGGGAGGATGTCTCAAAGAGCTTCACAGGATATATTGTAATGTGCAGTGACTTTCTGCTTTGTGGGCTGATTTAGGAACATTTATATGCTGAGTTTGTCACTGTACACAATTCTAGTATTAATATACAAAACCTGTGCTTCATCCTTTAGGTCTTTGTAGGCCTGGGATTCCCCTATGAAGGTCCTGCACCATTGGAAGCAATAGCAAATGGTTGTATCTTTTTGAATCCAAAATTTAGGCCTCCAAAGAACAGACAAAACACAGATTTTTTCAAGAAGAAGCCAACTTTCCGAGAGGTATGCTGCTTAAGTGTTCAATGTTTGGCTTAACAAAAATATAATTGTAACTTCTCTTCCTTGTGACCAATCAATATTTAAAAACATTCCAAGATTAAGATATTTCTTAATATATTAGCTATTTTCTAAGAATAATTGTGTTTTTCTTAGTTTATTTACTTAATATAACATTTGTAATATGAGCATTAAACAAGTGTAACTAACCTATAACAATCTTTTTAAGTTGAATTTCCTACAGTCTTGCCTTTATTTTGAAATTGAAAATGATTTAATTTCTACAAATACAATACAAAATTATATTTGTAAAGCGCTTTTCACACCAGGAGGACGTCCTAAGGTCAGGGCCTGGACAGTCAGAGATATGGACCTGAGCTCGGGGTTGGGATCGGGCCGGATGGAGAGCAGGGAGGGAAGGAGGGTGACCAAAGGCTCGGTTGAAGAGAAGGGTCTTGAGTTATGCCTTGAAAGAGGCAAGGGAGGGAACCAGGCAAAGGGACTGTGGGCTGGAGTTCCAATGGGTGGAGGCAGAAAGACTGAAGGTCCAGCTGCCGATGGTGGGGCAGACCGGGCGGGGGACTTGGAGCAGGCTAGAGCCTGCTGAGCAGAGGAGTGATGCAGTGACGGAGCCGGGCGATGTTTTCCCAGGAAAGATTGATTGAACAATTTACCTATGTTTTTTGTGGTCAATATTAATATTAATGTTCGTTTTGAGTCATCTTTTGCATAAATATGAAAAAAGAATATTGAAACACATTATTAACGTCCACAGAAAGCCCTTGTTAATTTATCAGTGAACTTTTAGCTCAAATGTGACAAAAGCGTCTAACATGACAGTACTATTACCAAACCAAGATTAATATGAATTGAACAATATGATTAATATGATTAATATGAATTGAACAATAAAAATACATATGATTATCATCATACAATTAGCTTTCTAAATCAGTGATTCCAGTTGCAGTTATGTGCCAAATTAGCATAGTGGAATCTTAAGATCCATTGTCGGTAGAACTAAAGTAAAGCATGAAATCAATTTGACATTGTATTAAAAAGCATGTAACAATCTATTCAAAAATTGAATGATGCGTAGAAACAGTTCTGACCCCTTCTGGTGGCAATGAGGAATTGATCAGTCCATTCCTTCAGCTGCCTTTTAAATGTCCTATAGAATAGTGAACTTTTTTTCAGATTGCTGACGTGCAAACAGTGTAAGCCCTCACCTCAGCAATCTCTCAGAAGTCTCCTTGGTTCAGAAGTTTTCACTTTTCAAAAGTTTATTTTGGGTCTTATGCCAATGAATTAATTAATATGCTTCACGAATTCAAGTAGTTCAGTCTGTACCTATTGTATTACATAAGTGATTATTTGACATTTTGACAATAAAGTAAATATTTCATTCCTGCTTCTGCATTACATTATGCAACATGAACAGTATAACCTCATTTTACATTGGATGGAACTCACCTGGAGGAGGTGCTGGAATCACATGACTGTATAACTACAACCGGTAACTTGTGTCTGTCTGTCACTGGTAACCGGTAAATTGAAGCCAATTTTTCAAACGTCAAAATGTAAATGTCGGAAGCCACTCTTCTGGGATAATTTTTACATTCCTACCAGCAGCAAATACTCAAATGTCTCATCAGTTCTTTTCTAACAGAAGAAATTCATGTTCAGTGAGCAAGTCCTGTGCCTATGTATGTCTTTAAGCGCACATTTGTAGACTTACTCGTGCTCAAACCTGTGCTCGTCAGATTTCAAATGACCTGCTTGTGACAATCCTCCTTTGGGGAGAGTGGGGAGGAGGTAAGTCAGTTCTCCTTGGGGCTGAGCTGGTTCCAAGCTGATGTGCTTGACAATGGAATGTCGGACTCAGTCAACGTTACCATAAATATTACCAGCGCTTAAATTAATTTGTATTTATAAGAAAACTACCATGAGTGATCAAAGCAAGGGTGTTCACCTTACTTCAAACATATTCCTTTTAATCCTTATCTATAAACAGGGCTCCCTCTGCCTCCTCGTCCTCCTTGACCTCTCTGCTGTCTTTGACACCGTCGACCACTCTATCCTCCTGCACCGCCTCTCCTCTCATCTCAACCTTCATGGTTCTATCTTTGGATGGCTCAGATCTTACCTCTCACACCATCTCCACTTAATCTCCACAAACGGCTTCTCCCCTGGCCCCTGCACTGTCCCTGGTCCCCTCCTTTTCAATATATATAAATATATATATATGCTCCCTCTTGGTGACATCATCCACAGACATGGGGTCAATTTCCCAACACTATGACACCCAACACTATCTCTCTGCCTCGACCCCAGGACCACTGCTGTCCTGACTGAATGACTGTCAGACATTAAGTCCTGGATGAGAGCTAACTTTCTCCAGTTGAACGTCAACGAGGCCAAGGCTCTCCTGATTGGCTCCCATCAGCGCCTCCTCACCTCAGGCGCTGACAGCATCACCATCCATGGTTGCACACTCCACCTTACTAAGCCAGTCCAGAACCTTGGCATCTTGTTTGATCCTCAACTATCCTTTCTACCCCACATTCACGCCATGAACCGCTCTACCTTCCCTCACCTCCACAACATCACCCGGCTCCGCCGCTGTCTCAGACCACAGGCCGCCAAGACCCTCATACACACATTCATAACATCCAGGCTTGACTATGCAAACTCCCTGCTTGTCGGCCTCCCAAACTCCTCCGCCACAGGCTGCAGATCATCCAGAACTCTGCAGTCTGTATCCTCTCCCGCACCAGGCTCCGTGGCCTTATCACCCCCATCCTCGCCCGACTCCACTGGCTTCCCATCACACAGAGGATAAGGTTCAAGATCCTGGTCCTCAGCTTCAAAGCCCTCCATGGCCTTGATCCCTCCCCTAACTCTGCGACCTCCGAACCCTCTACCAACCTGCCTGCTCCCATCGCTCAGTGAACTCGGGCCTGCTGCACGTCCCCCGCCTCGCCGTTCCCCCCCGCCCCTCACCACCATTGGCGACCGAGTCGTCAGCCACTCTGCCCCCACCCTCTGGAACTCCATTCCGCAGTCCCTCCACCTCCTTCAAGATCCCCCGCTCGGGTCCGTAATACTGATTGTCCAGCTCCTTTGGGCTCAGTATTGTGAAAGGTGCCATACAAATGTAATTTTGTGGTTGTTATTGATGTTGTTATCTTCCTGGAGAATTTTGTAAGCATTTGAACACTTAGGCACATGGAACCCATACAGATCCCGAGGCAACGAGGGAGTGCCCCCGCTGTCATAACTCACTTATCCACCTTGAATCCCCATTGAAATTGCTTCCCCACCGACCTAACTTGCTGGGGGGTGGGGCTTGGCATGATCAGCCACCTTGTGGCAGCGAGTCCGCAGATGCTCCAGGCCCACAACAGCCAACTTCCAGCCAATAGCCAAACCTCTAGGGCGGGATATCGCCCACAAAGTTGGGTGCCCGGAGACGCATTGCTGGTTTCCCAGCAACTGAGGAGCAACACTGGTTGGGGCCCCTGAGAGGAACGCCGCCACTGTATTTGAAATGTTGTGTGATATCTCTTATGTTATTAGCATTTCTCCCACAATTGTCTGTTGTCCAGCGCCTTGGGATGTCCTCCCGATGTGAAAGACGCTATACAAATACAATTTGTTGTTGTTAAATCTGTTACAGCAGGACAGTCTGAATGTTGCAGCAAGATTCTTGCTAAATTGTTTTTTTTCCACTGACAGCTATCCTCTCAGCATCCATATGCAGAGATTTATATTGGGAAGCCTCATGTATGGACTGTTGACATTGAAAACCCCAGTGAAGTAGAAGCAGCACTGGATCAAATCATGGAACTGCAGGTAATTTAAAAAAGAACTGTCATTCGATCACATTGCAGATTGGCATTTATATCAGTAAATTTGCATTACATTGAAGTTCAAATAAAAATACAATCTCTCTCCGACACACACAATTGCTCATTGATGACATTTTTCTTTCAACAACAACTTGCATTTAAATTGCACCTTTCACGCACGGTAGCGTCTCAGTGCGTTTAACAGCAATGTAGCTTGACTAAAGAGGGAGGGAGGTGACCGTAGGTATCGTTGAAGAGGAAAGTCTTCAGGAGTGATCTGAAGATGGTCAAGGTGGAGGGATTGTGGCAGAAAGTTCCAGGGTTTGAGGCATTGTGGCTGGAAGCATAGCTGCCGATAGTGGAGCAAAGGGGACAAGGGACATGCAGGAGGTTGTAGCTAGCTGAGCGAAGGAGGTAGGTAGAGGAGTGGGGTGTAAGCAGATCGGAGAGGTAGGGAGTTGCCAGGCCATTAAGTAATTTGTACATGGATGTGAGGATTTTGAAATCAATCTGCAATAAGGAGCCAGTGGAACTGGCAAGGTTGGGGATGATGATGGTGTGGAGACTGGTAGGGGTAAGACCACAGGTGGGGGATTTCTGAATCAATTGATTTTATGAGTGGTGGAGCTTGGAAGACTGTCAAGGAGATCATTGGAAAAATCGAGGCAAGGTGTGGTAATCTTGATAAGGGTTCCAGTTTCGCTGGGTGCGAAGCATGGTTGGGGGTAGATGAGGTGGAGGAAAGCGGTCCCTTGTCCAAATTGGATGTGGGTAGGAAGGAAAACGAGGGGTCGAACCTGATGCCTATTGTGCACAAGTTCAGTGAGTCTGAGCAACAGCCTGGGAAGGTTAAAGAGGTTGGAAAGCATGTGAGAAGACATTGACAGGAGCCAAGGAGGATGGATTCCATCGTGTCAGTATTCAGCTACAGAAAGTTGGCGCTCATCCAGGTCTTGATATCTGACAAGGAGGTAAACTGAACATCAGTGGACCTAGCATTGAGGCTATAGGAGAAGAAGAAGCCTACAGATAACTAGTGACTAAAGATACCAAACTCTTGAAAAAAAATTGCTGCACTCTTTTTTGAATTATTTGCATGATTTTAGCAGAAATTAAGATCTTTATTGTATGGCTTGAGATGGCACTAATATTAATATTCCAATATTACTTGCTCAAGCTGCTGCTCTCTATTACATTCATCCCCAAATGATTGGCAAACAATAATAAAGTGGGGGAAAATGAAAAGGGAATCAATGGCATGAGTGCACAACATTGCAATATTAATATTAGCAAGTGGGTGCGTCAACATGGGATTGGCCAGCACGAGTCAGGGATGTGAGTTTTAATTAAGCCCAGCCTGATTAGATGAAAGTCTCCTGTCTGTCCTGGCTCCTAATTTAATCTACCAGTAGTTTGGGCAATCTTGATGTAGATAAGAATGGATTTAGGTGTACAGTGCAAATCTGCCCATACTTTGACATACAGTACACATTTTAGAGGTCATAAATAATTATAGTTGGTGTGAGACTGGTAATATGACTTCCTGCAATGTACAATGAAAAAATGACCAATAACTACTTAATTTTTTGGAGAACCTACTTTAATTGTCTTTTGGGTTTATATCTTTTTGAATGTAGAAATGTGTTAATTAAGGCTATGGATATGGAGAAGATCTGATTTCCAACAATTGTATGCAACTTATATATGGGGATAAATTTATATGATTGCCAGATTATATCCTAAGAGTAATTCTTTATTTTTTTAAAAAAACAGGTTGAGCCATATTTGCCATACGAATTCACAAATGAAGGAATGTTGGAAAGATTAAATTGGTTCATTGCGAAACAGGTAAGTTATTTATTTAACTTCAGTTATAATATTTGCTTTTTGGATGTCTTACATCAAAATCTCTAAAAAAGCTTCAGATAATGAATGTCTTTGAAGTCTAGTGACATTTCTGTATACAAATGTGACCGCTAATATGAACTCTTAAATTGCACAAGAAATGTTTCACGAACAGCAAGTAAGTAAACATTTACATGTTTTTTTGGTTGTTTTGGATGAAGAAGGAATATTGACCAAGACTTCACTTCCTGATGAATACATTTCTGAAATGCATCTTATAAGTAAATCTGTACCAGTACATAAAAAGTATAAAACATACTTTAAATACTGACAACAACTTGTTGGTGATCCATATGTTGCACACAAAATGCAAAGTGATGGGTTTCTAGATCAGAAGTTTGTGTGTTTCGGCCCTACATGAGTTCAACATTCTGTTGCAGTGTTGGGGGAAACATAGCATTGTCAAAGGTACCATTTTACTGGTAAGACATTAAATTGAGCTGCTGTGTGCCAGTTCAGGTGATATCCCCTGACACTGTGAATTTCATTAGACGACAGCAATGTGTTACTTAATTAAGGATGATTTCTGAAAACTCTACCAACATTTCATATGACGATAAATTAAGAGAGATTATTCTAGAGATATATCTCCAGAGTGTATCTCTAGAGATATAACAGATTGCCAGATTATATCTCTGGAGTAATTAATTTTGTAAAAATAAAATGGGTATCCCCTGGGTTCCATACACCATCACTCCAAGCTAAGCTCCACTGGCTCCCGGTATTCAAGTAAATCAATTTCAAGATCTTCAACCTTCAAATCCCTTCATGGGCTTTTGCGCCTTACTTATATAATCTCCTCCAATATTACTCTCTTACCCATACTCTCCACTCTTCCAATTCTGGTTGTTTGTTCAATCCTCACACCTTTCCATTCCATGATTGGTAGCAGAACCTTGAGCCACTAGATCCTTGCTGTTTAGGGCTCACTTGCAAAGATTCTTTGCTTTGATACCTTAATAATAATAATAATAATCCTTGCATTTGATATAGCGCTTTTCACGTCGGGAGGACATCCTAAAGCGCTTCACAGAACACACTGTAAAGTGAATTGACTGTATATTTGTGGGCGAACGCGGCAGCCAATTGCGCACGGCTTGCTGCATGCCTTCAACCCCTTCCAAAAAGCATCTTTATGATCTTTATGATCTTGATTTTCACAACATTTAACTATTTTCTCAGTGCTCCCCATCATAATTGTTGAGCATTTTGAGATGTTCATTCTATATGAAAGGCATATAAATTCTTGTTGGTTTATGCTGCTAAGCATATGGTGCGTCACATTTTTATATCTTGAAATGTATTGATTTTTTGAGTGTTGTCAGCTCCAGCTGTATTTGACTGGAAATGTCACAGGAGTTAGTCCTATGGGTAGGTTTCAATAGAATTACTTAATTGAGGTGGGGTTGAGGGCTTGAACTCATTGTCTAAGCGGATAATGCTGATAGCCTGATATTCCAGTGCAGTACTGGGGGAATGCTGCATCGTCATGGGAGATGTTTTTCAAATGAGATGTTACATTGAGGTCTTATTTATTCAAGTGGATACTATCCACAGTATTATTCAAAAAGAGAAGGGAGATTTTCCTAGTGAATTGGCGAAAAACATCTTCCATATTAATTGGTCATTGACCTCATGTCTGTTTATGAAATATTGCTGGTAGAAGTGGCTCCTGCATTTGCTTACAAAAATCAGTCAACATTTGACAATAATTACCTGTGAAATGCTTTGATAGAAGCTTTGATGTGATAAGGGATTTTTCATATCCACCTGAAAACAGATGGGACATTGATCTAACATTTTATCTGAAAGGTGACATCTCTGGCAAAACAGTGTTTCCCCAGTACTGCAATGGAGTGTCAACTCAGCTCACTCCTGGTATGGAGCTTGAACTCGCAATTTTCTGGCTCTGAGGCAAGAGTGTCATGAACTTTAGGCTCAAACAAACATGAATCTGCATGCACAGCAGTTCTTAGAGTTGGTGGAAGTCAGAGCACTTAGTGAAAATCAAAAACAAGCTACAGTTTCTTTTTCCAAATAAATTATGTAAACATAAATAGACAAGCAGTTGTGTAAGCATAAATATATTATTTCCATATTATTCCATGTAAGTTATTAATTACTGACATTGGTGAAATAAGGTGCAGCAGTGTGGAACAATGGGGTGAAGATGCATCCCCATGCTATAACTTTATAAGCTTGGGGTGGCACATTCCATCTCACAGAGCCAGTGCAAAGCCTCAATGTTTTGTTCAATCCTCCACTGTTCTTTAAACCTAACATTTGGCTCTTCTTAACTTCTACAATATTACCTGCCTCTGCCACAACTTCTTCCTCAGGTTGCCCAAACCCTTATTCAACATTTTTGATCACCTTACCCCCACGAGAGCTCAGGCTCTCAGTTAGCTCAGTTCATATTGTTTGGAACCCACATAGAATTCTGATACTCTGATTTTGCTCCAGGATTTCTGCCGCCAGAGAGAAATATGGCCACCACTGACTGCGCTCAGGACAAAAACTGCCAAACCCCACCAGTCCTGTGTTGAAGTCTGCCAGGAAAGCCAACTGATTTGTGAGCCTGCTTTCTTCTACCATCTCAACAAGCAGGCAGAGCTTGAGAGGTAACTTTCACATTTCTCTTATTGCACCTGATAATCAAATTGTGGGATTTGTACTTTCAGATCTTATTCAGGGACCATTGTTGTTTTCCATGACCTTTTTTGCAGTTATACATTTGACTTAATTAAAAATCACTAACAACAAGGTTACATTTGTATAGCGCCTTTCACATCGGGAGGACTTCGGGAGGATGTCCCAAGGCGCTGGAATGTGCACAATTTAATGTGCACAAATCAAATGCTTCATACAATACAAAAATACAAAATTACATTTGTAAAGTACCTTTCACGTGGGGAGGACATCCCGAGGCGCTGAACAGCCAGGGTTTAGGACCCAATCGGGGCGGGCGGTGGGGGGAGATTAGGCATGGTGGATGCAGAGAGGGTAGGAAGATGGTCGAAGGCATGGTCGAAGAGGAGAGTTTTGAGGCAGGCCTTGAAGGAGGCAAGGGGGGGAGCGAGGCGAAGGGAATGTGGGATGGAGTTCCAGAGGGTGGGGGCAGAGAGGCTGAAGGGCTGACCGTCAATGGTGGGGAGGGCCGGGGACATGGAGCAAGCCGGAGCCTGCTGAGCGGAGGCAGCGGACAGATTGATAAGGGATTAGCAGTTCGGAGGGGGCAAGGCCATAGAGGGCCTTGCAGGTGAGGATGAGAATTTTGAACTTGATCCTCTGAGGGATGGGGAGCCGTGTGAGGGTGGGTGTAATGGGGTCATGGAGCCTGGTTCGGTAGAGGACATGAGCTGCTGAGTTCTAAATGATCTGCAGCTTGTGGAGGGAAGAGTTGAAAAGGCTGACAAGCAGGGCATTGGCACAGTTGAGCCTGGATGTAATGAAGGCATGTATGAGGGTTTCAGTGGCCTGAAGGGTGAGGCAGAAGGAGCATGTATAGGTTGAAGAGGAGAGGACCGAGGACAGAGCCCTGAGGAAAATTGCACGAGACAGTCCAAGAACCGTTTGTGGAGACAATGTGGAGCCAGTACGAGAGATAGAATCTGAACTATTCGAGGACAGAACCTTAAGGCGGTGGAGGAGGATAGAGTGATCCATAGTGTCAAAGGCAGCAGAGAGCTTGAGGAGGACTAGGAGACAGAGGGAGCTCTGTACACAGATGGACATAATATCATTTGTCACCGTGATCAGTGCTGTTTCTGTGATGTACGGAGCATGGAAACCCAATTGGAGGGGTTCACAAAGGGAGTGGCAGAAGAGGAAGGAGTAAAGCTGAGAAACAACAACTCTTTCAAAGACCTTGGAAACAAAAGGGAGGTTGGGGATGGGGGCAGTAGTTAGTGAGCAGGAATTGGTCCAGGGAAGGGTTTTTTTTAGGAGAGAGGTGATGACAGCTGTTTTTAGTGAGGTAGGAACGGTGCCAGTTGACAGGGAGAGGCTGACGAGGTCTGAGAGTAAAGGGGCGTGATGGTGGAGCAGATGGCTAGGGATGGGATCGAGGGAGCAGTTGGTGGGCTTCATGCAGGTTATAGTTGTGATGAGAGAGGAGGGGAGACAGGTTCAAAGGTGTGGAGTAAGGGATGGGTAGGGATTGGAATGTGAGGGAGAGATGGGGAGTGGGTGGCAGTTGGGAAGGCGCAGGCGGCTGAACAGATCCCCTCGATTTTGGTCTTGAGGAATTCCAGCACCTCCTTGGAGTTGGAGGAGAGGATGGGCGAGGCATGAGAGGGTGGACGGAGGAGCTGGTTGGTAGTGGAGAAGAGAAGCCTGGGGTTGGCCTTGGCCGTCAAGATTATCTTGGAATAAAACAACGATTTAGGGGAGACAAGGGAGGAGTGGTAAGTTTTTATGTGGTACAGCCAAATCTGCTGGTGGACCGTTTAAATTAGATTTGAGCCAGGTGCTCTCGGCAGCACGCACCCAATCCTTGAGTGAGCAAAGTTGGCTAACTTCATAAAGCAGTTAAGTTTAATAATTGTCCCTTACATTGATATATTGTCTTATTACATTGCCAAAATATCTCAAACTGCTTCACAGAATTTTATTGGAAAGTGTAATGACTGTGCATTGTTAGTGAAATCAACAGTACATTTACAACAACAACAAAATCACATTTGTATAGTGCCTTTCACGTCGGGAGGATGTCCCAAGGCACTGGACAGTGTACAGCATTTCAGACCCGAGCTGGGGTCAGGGGGGAAGAAGGGAGGGGAGAGGAAGGGGGGTGGCTGATGGCATGATCGAAGAGGAGGGTCTTGAGGCGGGACTTTAAGGAGAGGGCGAGGTGGAGTGATTGGGGGATGGAATTCCAAGGTTGGGGGCAGAGTGGCTGAAGGCTCTCCCACCTATGGTGGGTCGGGGGACATGGAGCAGGCCGGAGCCGGCTGAGCAGAGGGAACAGGCGGGTTAGTAGGGGGTTAGGAGGTCGCAGAGGTAGGGTGGGGCGAGGCCATGGAGGGCTTTCTAGGTGAGGACCAGGATCTTGAACTCGATCCTCTGAAGGATAGGGAGCCAATGGTGTCGGGCGAGAATGGGGAGATGGGATCACGGAGTTTGGTGCTGGAGAGGACACGGGCTGCAGAGTTCTGGATTATCTGTAGTCTGTGGAGGGAGGAGTTGGGAAGGCCGACACGTTTGCATAGTCGAGCCTAGAGGTGATGAAGGCATGAACAAGAGTTTCAGCGGCCTGAGGTGTGAGGTAGTGGCGGAGTCGGGCGATGTTATGGAGGTGAGAGAAGGCAGAGCATACAATACATAAAATAATGGCTGACAAACACCCAATGACCTGGGCCAATAGGAAAGTGCGGCTGGACTTTTTCCGAGGAATCCGCTGCAAACTCCCCCCTCTGCTACAAACGCATCATGAACACCCCCTCCACTACAAATCTGTACACACAGTGTGCAAGGCCCCACTACAAACCTGTACATACAGTGGGTTAGGCACCGTACCAAAATGCTGGGGTTAGGTCCCGTACCAAAATGCTGGAGCCCTCCCTCCCTGTAGCTGCTTTCTGTGTATGCCACAAATCCACCTGACTGCTTTATCATGGACTTTGTAAATGGTTAGAGGACACCTTTAAACTGCATTCCCAGGAGCTCAGAACCATAAAGGAGGAAGTGTGCACATAGATCTTATATGCCACAACCTTGACCTGCATTGGGACTTTACTGTCTCTTTGAAGAGAGACAAGCATGACGAAAGTGCCCTTTGCCCCCTCTCTGCGTGGTCCGATAGGAAGTGTCCAAACAAATGTTGGTGTCCACAACAATCCCCAGGTATATTTTGGTACGAAATAAGAAACAGCTTACTGGAGGCGGGTCCAGCAATAACTTACTTTGTAAAAGGGACATTTTAATTTAGCTCACATATGGTATTTGCTCTGTCTCCCTTCTTTGTGTTTCTGCTCTTGTTACTCGTGTGTTTCCAATTGTTCCACATTATATTCTTCAATGATGTTAAGCAAACCATGACTTATTAAATAGTGACATAAGTGACATTTTTAACATAAGCATCCAGGTAGGGCTTTGGTTTAACTTCACATCTAAAAATAGGCACCTTTTATGTTGATATTGGTCAAAGTGATAGATGTAAAATTGTTTTTATTTTCTTTTATAGATATGGGATACACTGTAAGACTTTAGAAAGACACAGTGATCTATATGCACCTTCCTATGACCCTGCAAACCAGAAGTGTGTGCTCCAGTCAGATTACCTGCTCTTCAGCTGTGCAGGATCACATGAAAATTACAATCGAATTTGTCCCTGTCGAGACTACGTCAAAGGACAGGTTGCTCTCTGCCAGCACTGTTTGGAGAAATGATTGCACAGCTAATCTACTTTGTTTACAGAAGCAAAACATACTGCTGTCAAATGGTTTATCAAAAGGGAAATCAATAGCAAACGTACGCAAGCGAAAACATAATGACTTTTTATAAAAGAAAAATGAGTGAACCAAAAAACTATTATATAAGATCAAGTCTTAAATTTCAAAGATGAAATCAGATTATTTGTGGAGAAAAAGTATTAATCTGGGAAATCTGTTTATAAAACAGACTAATATTTGTCTCGAAAGCTCCATATAGCAAACTGTCCTGGTAATCATTCCACAGAGAAACGTACATGCAATGTATTATATTTAATTCCTAAAGGAGAACATTTATAGGTGACTTTATGCCATTTAGCTTTATGTCATCTATAGTTTGGTCTATAAGACGTTAAATATGTAGAGACATTGTGGCTTTCTCTTGCCTTTAAAAAGTAGATGTTTACCATGTTCTACAACTCTCTCCTCTTCCACTAACCTCATCACCACTCACCCAACCTATATCAACCAAGCAAAGTGATTTTTCCATTCGATCTGGGAAAGTATGGCAGCCAGATATATAGGGTATTTTCTACTGAGTAATATAATTACTAGCCTTAATTATGTTTTACACAAGGTTCAGAGGAACCAGCGGAATGTTTCACACATAGTTGCAAACTGCAACTTTAAAAAAGCTGTTTGTCATTGCGGCTCATAAACACAAAATTTCTATACATTGGGACCTTATCCAACATTGTAGAACTGTATGTTCTACAATGCAACTCCACCATGAAATATCATTGTACACACAGAAAATGCATTGCTGAGATTCTGGGAAAATTCTGTACTTTTATAACAGGATAATAGGGTCTGATACACAACAATCTGTAACAGGAGTTGCAGATAGTAGAGTAATTAAAAGTTGTGTAACTGATCCAGATTTGTGCGTAAGTAAGAACCAAAATGCAGTGAGATTCTGCTGACTCTCCTTCAACAATTTTAATAGCAAACTCCAATATTATTTCAAGATTATGTGTTTGGTTTAATTTAGTTGGTTTATTTAGACTGCAAACACTTATTTATTTTTAACCTAGTCACAAGAATGTATGCACTTAACGTCACAAATTGCCGTCTGGAGCTGCTGCAGGAACCCAAGCCTGCAAGTATTCTGAAATGTGTTCTGTTTACCCTGCATAGTAGAATCTGGCAGCAACTCAGAAACAACTGCACTTATGTATTCTCATGCATTCACAGCTGTTTCAAGGGCACAAACTGAACTTTAATTTCTGGCTGAGGACCTTTTCTGCTCTGTTGGGATGTTCTTTTTCAGTGAGTGACATGAATTGGCATGTGTGAACTGGCGTCACCTACTGACAGAAATAAATGGTGGCATGCGTAGCTTATACAGTTTTTCTCTAAAGCGACAGCACCACCATGTGCTCAGTCCCATTGCAGGCAGTGCTATCACCTTATTTTCTGATAACAACACTGCACTTTCAAGGAATAATAAATGCCACCTTACTTGTGGCAATTTGTGTTTCCCCTGCCCTTCCACACTGTTCATTGTTAGTCAATGGATATGTATGACAATACATAATAAATTAATCTCGTCCACGGCTTCTAAGGTAAAGACCTACCTAAAAATTGCTGTGTGATTTCCTCCTCTTAAATGTTTTGCTGTGTGATTACACAGTTGTAGAAAAATGGTAAATATGATACTTCCTTGAAAATTGCTAACCTCGGTACTATGTTTACAATGTTAAATTAATGTGTTTTAGTAATGTGAATACTACTGTTTTTTCCTCTGGCCATCCATCCTCCCAACATGGAAACTGTATCAAAACAAAAGTTATTTTTGTCACGTTTAAAGGTAATTTAAATGGGAACTTATTTTGCAATATTTCTTAATGTGATTTCTTACTAAAGAATCCGGTTAAAATGTCTTCAAACCATAGAAGCTCCATCACAAAATAAATCAGAAAATAAATCATATCAGAAAAGGGCTCCTGTGGATCAGGGTGATGTAGCTTCAATTAGCAGAAGACAGCCCCATTTCTAGCTTATCAATGAAGACTTGAGAATTACTACAATTTAGATCCCTATATATGTTAGTGGTGCTTTCCCCTGCCCTTGATGAAATATAGTACTATAATTGAAGCTGTGCGTTAGATTGGAATAAAATAATTTTGCATTTGATATAGCGCTTTTCACATTAGGAGGATATCTCAAAGAGCTTCACAGGATACGCTGTAAAGTGGTAACTGTATTTCATAGGTAAATGAAGACTGAACCAGAAGACTGAATTGTTTAACTAGTTAAATAGTTGAGCAAACTGAAATTATTTTATTTCACAGCAGTCTTCTCATAAATGCACAATTATGATTGATAAACTGTTTAGAATTAGCTATGAGTTTAAAAAAGGGTGTTATTATCAAAACAATCTCACTCACAAGTTATCCCTCTGCAACCAGTGGTTTTCTTTTCTGTCTGTAAGTGGAATAATTCATCAGATGGGCATTTGCATTCCACCTGGAAGGACGAACTATGAGTAGAAAAGGATTGTTCCCATAGTTCTCCTTTTTCCAGTTCATACCAAATTTGGAAAAACATTTCCTCACAGAAAAAGCATAAATCCAGCTGAGATGGGTTAAAATCTCAGCATTAGCTCATTGGTAGGATCATATTTAGAAAGCTCTATGCAGTTTTGGCATCCTACCTTCAAACGAAAATTAGAGTTGGAGGGAGTTCAATGAATTATGTCAGACATAAAGTTCTAAACTATGGGGATAGGCTTGCAGAGCTGAATCCGTCCTTATTAGCAAAACATATTTTTAGGTAGAACATGCTTCAGGTGTTTTAAATAAGAGGCATAACTAACAATAGCCCTGTTTGAACTTGCAACCTGCAAAGAGAAGTAAAATACCAGGTTTACAATTAAAAAGTTTCAAAAACTAGAGATCAGAAGAACTTTTGCGGTGTATATTGAGTGCAGAATCTCAACACAGTGCTGATTAACTTTTCTTAAGGGAAATACTTATTTGCTTGAAAACAGAATGGGATGATCTGGGGATATTGTAGATTCATGGGGCACAATAATGCTGGGATAAGGGGACATGACTCCTATCTGTGGAGAGATGGTGGTTGAGGTTTGTACAGTGGTGACCGATGAATGTTCTACAATTTTTCACTTTACTTTTTAAATTGTTATGTGGTTTTATTTCAGTTAAATATTTTGTGGTATATTCTGTGTTTACAGCTTTTTAAAAAATATTTCTTATTTGTTTCTTGTAAATGTTGTCAAGATTGTCCTCCCATTAATGCTGGCCAGACAATAAATACAGGGGAAAATAAGATCATTTGGGGTATGCTGACAGTGTCCAAGATAAATAGTTAGCACTATTGAATTATATTCAAGAGGCTTGCATAACTGAATGTGTCATTAGAGAAATTAGTGGTGCTATAGATATTTCACTTAGACACTCAAAAGTATATAAAGTATATACTTTTGTAACTGTATTTCATAGGTAAATGGAGACTGAACCAGAAGTCTGAATTATTTAAATACTGTAGTTAAATATTTGAATAAGAACATGACATAGGCCTGTTTTTAAAACAATCACTATCTAAAAATAATTGATATTTCTATTTTATTTCATAGCAATTATCATCAACAATTATCAAGTAACATCAGGATATGTTCTACCATGTCATGAATTATACCTGTTAGATGTAGAAAGCATATTTGTTACACATAGTGCAAGCAGTTAAATGTTTATATAGATCTGTTTTAGTTAGACTGGCCTTTTCTAATTAAAAAATAATTGCTGAAAATGAATTGATTAATATGTCAATACACTGAAGTGGCTAACTACTGCTTAAATCCCCATATGCCTTTTAACTGTTATGAATCTTTACTCCATTGTCATTACACTGTCTTATTTAGGTAGTCTTTTTTTTTCTGGTAAGAATTATAATTAAATAATGTTAATATAGAATGCATGAACCTCATTCCTATATGCACTTATCCCTGTATCATTTAAACTTCATTGCTCGAATGGGGAAAATATTGCAACATCAGTGTATCCATATATCTGTTAGTAAAGAAAAATATTACCCCAATCAAGCAGCCTTCATATGTAACAATTAAAGGGAAAAATTATACCTGGGTATAGATTTACAGTTTTTATGTAACATTATCCAGAATTTGACAAATTGTTGAATTCTCTTTCTCCTTTAATGTATTACAGAAAGATTGATATTAATTTGTGTGACCTGCAGTTACCATATGTTAATTGTTGCAAACTACTGTATTTAATGCATTTATTTTTGATAATTTACAATTTGTTATAAAGTTATTTAAATATTTGACTGTTTGGTAAGATGTAATGGTATTTACATGGTTTTCGCCTGGTGAGAGAGGACTTGATCTCCCTAGTTTTAAAAAAAAGTTTCATACAAAATAAGTAGCTGAATTGTAGTTTTAATATTTATAAGCAATGGTCTTTTTTCTCAGGGTGCTTTAGAAAACATTTTGTTTTAATTCATGTTACAAAAATATAAAACTAATTAGATAAGAAAATGAAAGGGGGAAATGCAAAAGTCAAATTAAATAAAATTAAATGCTTTCAATCTGTATAATACTTCTAGTTCAGGTGGCAATGCTGAATCTGTGGACAATATTACCAGTTTTACTTTGTCAATTTTAGCTCTGCATAAATATCATGGTCTGGAGAAAGGGAAAATGTGTTTGTGCTTGACTTGCCTGCCTGAATTTGTGCTTGTTGCTAGTGTATCAGAGAAGTCATGGTTTAGATTTGAATCTATGGTTTAGATTTTCCTGCATTTGGATTACCAACCATGAGGAGAAAAGTCACTGGGGGAAAATATTCCCCAAATAATAGTGATATATTTATTGTCTGCACTTTGTTTCAAATAAGTACTTACCTTAAATAAATTATGCTACATATTTAACGTTCATCTATGAATACATAATTATCCACATATACAGATATTAGCAATATCCATCGATAAATATTCTGCGCAGAATGAACAGCCTTATCAAAATGGACAGCTACAAACCAAAAATCATTCACTTGTAGTTTCAGATCGAAGAAAAAAGCCTAATTGATTTAAGAGCCAATTGTCATCAATACGCGATGAAGTAGAAATCCATGCAGAAATGTCTTACTTAGAACATTTATTTTGATAAATCTACAATTCGCTTGATGTAACCCTAAATTATAATTGAGAACATCTTGCATTTATATGGCATTTTTCATGTATCATGAAGTACTCGCAAATATGGTAGGGGACACTGGGCAGAAAAGAAATCGAAGAATTAAGGATACTGACCAAAAGTCTCACGGTCAGAGATCTGCTTTCAACAGTTTTGAAGGCAGAGAGCGAGGAAGCAATTGACTCTTACTAAAACAATGCTCTGCTTTTACTGCAGGGTGACCAAAAAGTTGTAATACCATTACAATGTCTAATATGTCTTAAAGAAATTATGATATTTTTGTTTGTTTTTAGATAATGGGGTAGTTATCACGACTTTTTGGTCACCCTGTAGTTGTGTACAGTAGTATATGGAAATGAGTTTAAAAATATCTCAGCTAAATTTAGTGTAAAGAGAAACAATTTTATAAAAATGAAGCGTTGTAAGCCAAAATTATTCATAGTTTGTAATTTTTGATTTGCTTAAATTGTTTTTATACTGAATGATCGCAAGATATTACTTTGACAGATTCTACTTATTTTATTTGATTCCCATATTTCTAATGTTTTTGCCAATTGAGACATTTTAATGTATTTTTAATACAATATAGCAATGGTATACCACCAGATATCATCAGTACTTTATTTGTTATGTTGCATATAGTTTCAAAGCCTTTATTTTCATTAAAATACTATATTATTTTGTCTTACTTGTAAACCTTTTATTTTCAATAAAATACTATATTAATTTGTGTTACTTTGTGTTGACTCTGTTTCCATCTTCTCCCCTGGCCTTCTGTTTCTCACACTTTCTGGTCACCCACATGGAAACTCATCACCATGCTTAAGAGCATCTTGATCCATACCAAACTACAGAGGCATGGAAATTTCACTTTGTCTAAAATTCTAGCAACCTTCCAGTGGCTTTTCTAGTGTGAACTACCCTTGCAGGTTTAACAGTTGGTCTTGGAAGCTTAATAGGAAACATGTGGAAAGAATCCTTGCCCCCAGTGACTGACATGCTTTTCCAAGTCGTACTGACGAACTAGACTTGCTGTTCTGTCACCAAAAGTGCCTTGATTCTGGAATTGGACCACAGGGATCATCATAGAGTAACATTTAAATTGTGAAGCACCTCACCTTGAAACCAAATCAGGCTCAGATATTACTTGCTTTCCCCTGCACCCAAGGATGATAATCAAAAGTCTGTTATTAAGCAGGTGAAACCATAAATTTAACCTCTAGTATCTATTTCTTCCTATTCCTCTCTTTTTCTCTTTATCTCTCCACTTCCAGGGCCTTGGCATGAAATTCCGACGTGAACGGGCTATACCAATGCAAAACAAAAACAGAAGTGGCTGGGAACACTCAGCAGGTCAGGCAGCATCTATTGATAAAGCAAAGTGAGTCAACGTTTTGGGTCCACGACCTTTAATAATAATAATAATAATAATCCTTGCATTTGATATAGCGCTTTTCACGTCGGGAGGACGTCCCAAAGCGCTTCACAGAACACACTGTAAAGTGAATTGACTGTATATTTGTGGACGAACGCGGCAGCCAATTGCGCACGTCAGAACTGGACAAATGCAATTTGTGGTGGTGTATTCCCTTTGCTTCTCCCTTTTCCTCTCATTTCTTTTCAATATTCTCATTTTTTTCTCTCTATTCCTTTCTTCCTCTATATAGAGTATGCTTCTTGCTTTCTCTCTGTCTATTCCTCTCCTGGTATCTATTTTTCTCACTATTCTCTTTTACTATATTCTCTCTGTCTCCACTCCTACCTGTTTCTCTATCCTCTTTCTTGATCTATCATGGAAGATGATGCATCAATCCATTCCACTGCCTTTTTCTCCTTTTCCCTTAAAGGCCTTACTTCCCAATCTTAATTTCAAATATCCCAATCTATTCTGTATTGATGACCTTCTGGTCCAGTATTCGACACTGTGTTCAACATTCCCACAAACCTTTCTTTAGGTTTAATAATCCCTCCCAAAACAATAATAAATTGGTCATTTTCAATCCACGACTGTTTGTGGGACACTGTTGTGCGCAATTGTCTGCCGCGTTCGCCCACAAATATACAGTCAATTCACTTTACAGTGTGTTCTGTGAAGCGCTTTGGGACGTCCTCCTGACGTGAAAAGCGCTATATCAAAATGCAAGGATTTTTGCCTTGGTCCCTTGGACTTGCTTAGCATGGACAGGGCATCCCACCGGCCCCAGCGAAAAGCTCACATCCTATATTCAACGCTTGTGGATTTGGTTTCTCGGTCGCCCCGAGGGAAACCTTATTCATAGGCACTGTAAATTAGGTACATAGGAAACGGTATTTGCCGGTTTCTGAAGTTCAGAACCCAATTCGTTAAATATAACAAAACTCTCAATGTGTGGCATCAATCAATGCACAGCCCATCAGCTTTGTGCATTCTTTCACTCTCACTGAAGGCAGTGACGTTGCTCTGTGCACTTCTCCCCCCCTATTGCTCTTTCTATCCGTGTTCCCGTATCCCCAGTCCTGTCCCTCTCTGTGCAATGAGACCCCGCCCGGGGGCTGCTCGGGGTCACGTGGCCTGTGCGTTTGCGGGGGCTGGACGGGCACGTGGGGCGTGTGAGCGGCGGGAGGGCGGGACAGTGGAGGCTCTTCCGGGGGAGGAGGGGGCGGGAGGGGAGAGAAAGAAAGAACAGCCGCCGCCATCTTGTGACAGTCGGGATCGAGCCGAGCGCACACTTCGGTTCCGCCGCCAGAGCCACTCACCCCGACCCCCGGCCCCGCCACAGCACCGCACCGCACCGGCCCACCCGCCCACAGGCAGACAGACAGACAGACAGGCACCATGAGCGACATCGACGAGACGGCTTACGAAGGGCGGGTGAGTTGCTTTTCTTCTCGCTCCTGCCCTCTCTCCTCCCTCCGCCGTCGATGCATTTCCTCTTCCAAAGTACAGGCCGTGTCTTTACAGTAAGAGAGGGGGAGGGAGGGAGGGAGGGAGGCGGAGAGAGAGAGAGAGAGACAGAGAGACGGTGGGGGGGGATATAAAACCCGACATTGTGCTTATTATTGTTTTTAAATAATAAATGGAGGGGCTGGGCTGGGTGTGGGCTCGGGCCTCGTGGAGCCGCAGTGATGTGTGAAGAAAGGAAAGTGTGTGTGTGCGGGGGGGGGAGGGGGAGAGACGGGCGAGGCCCGGGCCTACATCGCCATCAATTACCCCCCCTCCCCCCCTCCCTCCCCGGGGCGTCCCTCTCCAACACACGGCTCCCACCTAAAATGGAGTCTGTTTCTGTTGGCGGTTGACGGGTTTCACCGTTTCGTTTACCGCGGGGAGGAGGAGGGGGCACTCAGTGAGACGGGGGGGTGTAGGTGTTGCCGGCTCTGGCCCCCGGGGCCGGGCTGTTTGAGTGAGGGTCGAGGCGGGTGGCGTCGGTTGGCGATGTTTTTATTCAAAAGCAGCAACTTCCGAGGAGCCGCGCGCCGCACTCCCCCCCTCCCCCCCGCCCCCCCCCGCACCGCCGTGTTGTTCAGGACGTTGCGATGTTTTCCCGCTCTGTGCCCCCCCCCTCCCCGGGGGTCGTACAATGCAATCCCACACCCGCGGGGTCTGTCTGATCTTTAGAGTCCGCGCCTCCCCCCTTCCCCCCCATCTTCCCGCTCTCTCTTCCCGCCTTTACGAAGTGAGAAAAGGCGGGGAAAAAGGTGGACGTGGGCTCTGAAACATGGCGCTGAGCCTCTATAACAAGGCCCAAGGAAGAACGCCCCGGATCTCCCCCCCCCCCCCCCCACACACCACACACACACACACGGGCACTCATACAGGTTGTACCATGTTAGGATTTTTTTTTCAAGAAACAAAAACAAAAAGCCACTCGTGGATTTGGGGTAGTTTTATTGGGCCCAGAAGGGGACCCAAGTCAAACTCTGCAGGCGGGGAAGCACAACGACGGATTTGATTGTAGTTTTATGTTCTGCCCGCGGCCTTCACATGCCTTTTGTGTGGGGCATCTCATTTTGCTGCCTCCGCTTTGAGCATCGCTTTGGCTTAGACTATCGCAAAGGCTGGACCGTTGCCTTTTTCATCGCCGACGGAGCTCGGGTCTCTCTCCAAGGTCGAGGGCAATAAAAGTCCTAAACTACATAGGTAAATCAGGTTCCAGCGGGAATGTTTTTACTATGAAAATGAATAGCCAATCCATTCGTAATTGTACAATCCAAAATTGCATTTGTGAAGCACCTTTCACTGCGGGAGGACGTCCCAAGGCACTGAACAGTCGGGGATTAGGACCTGAGCTGTGCTGGGGGGGGGGGATCAGGGTGGGCGGCTGAAGGCACTGTCGAAGAGGGGGTATCTTGAGGTGTGCTTCCTCATTGTAGTACAATACTGATAAACCTTTTACCCAGTCTTCATTGGCTTCCCTTGATAGTTTTTTTTGTTTTGAGTATTTTTTTCATTTTTACTTATTCTTTTCCACTTCTTTTGTTGACTTATGTTGTGTTCTTTTTTTAATTGTCTCCTTCCAACTACTCCCGATATCCTACCTCTTGGATGATATTCCACTTTGTCACTTTTTTTGAAATGCAGTGCCAAACGGGAGGTTTTGTTGTTTCTCGCACCCTATCCCTTTCAAATGGGCTCATGGAAATTTTTTTGATTTCCGCTGCAGAAATAATTTGGCAGAAGCTTGGAGGTGTGCCTGAAAAGCAAATGACTTGGCTCCTATCCTTTTCACAATTCCATTACAACAACTTGCATTTATATAGCGCCCTTCACTCCCAGAGCATTACCATTATTTGGAGATGACAGAAAAATCTAATGCTGTTCATCTATGCCTTGATGTCATTGCAACACTTAAGCAAAGATTTTGAAGCATCTGTGAAGCATTGCTGGATCCTCTCGTTTGACTGCACTATTTTTCACTCAGTCGATCAGACTCCTAAATCTGTTTTGGGCGATTAAGAGCTAGAAACAAGAAGAGTTATTTTACATTAAGATTTACTTCCCGGGCCAATTTTGACCCCAAAACAAGTTTAGTGTAGAGGTGGTGTGAAGTTTTAGCATGATAGAGGGTGCTGTTAATATTGTGGTAGTTGTTATCCTATAGCCTGGAATATTGTATAAATGTTACTTATTATAGGACAGGTCCAATGTCCTGAGTGATGGTTTTGATTAATCTTGAATTTCATCAGTAGAATGATATGAACTTCCCTCAATATTAAGAGTTTGGGCCTTTGTTAAAAGGAACTCAAGCAGGTAATTATCTTGAGCTCCAAGTAGTAATAGAGAAAACGCCATTTGTAATTCCTGTCTTTTTCTGAAGTTGGTGCTTTAGACTAGCTTGAGAGTGAATCTGGAATATCCTTAAGTTTTGTAGTATCTTCACTTGTTACGATCGTTCCTGGATTGAGTCGGTTCTGGATTGGCTTTGGTAAGGCTGAAGGCACTCTCCCCACAAAGCAGGAACTAGTTATGTCCCAGTTACGATTAAAATAAGTATAAAACTGAGTTCGCCATTTCTTTTTGTTTATTTAATGATGCAAGGATTAATACACTGTTCCTAACTAGGCTTGTCTGTTTAAAGATTTACTTGTTCAGTTTTCCAATTTCATCCAAGGAAAATTAATTCACATTTTAAACTTTTAACACTTTTAATTTTAAACAATAAAATTGTCAACCTCCATGTGGTGAGGACACCATGCGTGCCACTTCCTATGTGCTACACATGGTACAAGAATATACGTGAGCGATTATGCCTGCACCACTCTTAATGTTTTTCAGAAATGTAGCTGTCATTTAATAACTAATTAAATGTTTTGATTATTGCTGCTTGTCCCAAAGTCTTAACATAAAATCAGTTTTGTACATTTTTTAACCCATCGGGTTGTAGTAATCAAAATTTTAGCAGCTTAAATTCATAACCATCAGTTAATCTAGTTGTTAATGTGATTAAAATGAATGGAGTGGTACGTGTATGTCAGGGATAATTATTCTTGTGTAAAGCTAGTTAGTACTCAAGTCACTAGCGTGGAGTAAGACCTTGGATTACATTTGTCAGCTACAGCCTTAAAGGTACTGTAAAATGAATTATTTTTCACTCCCAGTTCGCTGATGGATGTGATTAGAAGATTGGTGCTTTAGGTGGGTTTTGTATCTTTCAAGTTACTTTTGACCTTTATTTCACTTGTCAAGGGCATTAATGCACTGTATCACAGAGCAGTAAGTCACCACTTCTTGATCCCAGACAGTGAGTTCCAGGTCTCAATTGTTTCTCTTTCCCTCCTCCATCCCACTGGTGTTGCTGCTTGCCTTGACTGAGCTGGGTCTCGGTTATAAAAGCACTTTCAATTTTGCTGATCGGACCTCCGTGAAGCATATCCTAGTTTTATCTTGGTTTCCAATGAAGCAGGAAAGCCAGCATTGCTAAATACTGGCCTTGGCAACATACCAAAGTTAAGCAGAGTAGGAACAGATGCTTGATGTAGACGATTTGCAGATGAGATGGTGGTCTATATTAGCAGTGCCACAAAAATAGTGGATCTGAATTTTTTTTTAAAACAGGTATGGCTTGGTGACTTGGTCAATTTCTTAAATCTAATGGGACAATCATGTCCTGTGCATAGTAATTAACTGAGGTATATCATAATATTCCTTGCATGTCTTTGAGATGTCTCAAAGCGCTTCACAGAATATACTCTAAAGTGAATTCACTGCATATTTTATAATGTGCAGAGTGCTATCCAAATTTGATCAGTAAAGATTTTCAGCTACCTTATTACAAGCTAATAATTTCAATTGCTTTTATACTCAGTGGACACTCTTATTTAAAAAAAATATTTCTGTGAATGTCTGACTTATAGATGGATCAGGGATTTAAATTCATCCTCAACCCAGACTAAATTAGCAATTTAATCTGGTTTTATTTGGGCAAATAATAAACCTTATTTGATATAGTGCTTTATCACATCGACATCTCACATGGGATATATTGTAAAATGGTGTGACTGTGTTTTGAGGGTGCAAGTTAACAGCACAAAGTAAGTATAAGTCTCCAGTAAACTGACCAGAATGAAAAATGGGAATTTCAACATTGACATGTAAGAGAATTTTCTTTTGAAGTTTGAGTTAAGATACATTGCTGGAGCATTATAGAAGACGCTTTGCATTCTATTTGGCTTGACTGAACTGGAGAGTGCTTAACCCTGGATGTAGGAATGCAAAGCTTAGGCTTGGGGTGAAAAGGTTCTTTAAATTCTAGTGATTACATTTGACTTTTGGTTATATTAACGCTATGCCTTATTGGTGAATACTTACCTTCCTGAGTCATCTAATAGAAGACAATAACCATTTGAAACAGTAGGAAGGGTTATTTTCCAACCACAAAGAAGGTGCTATTAGTTGATATACTAGATGTAGGACTGTACATTCAAGTAAACGTGACATCTTCTCTGATTCACAAGCCATTCCTTTCTCCCAGTACTTAATGTGCACTTTATATTTTAAAAAATGGCAGTGGGGGAAATTAATATTATTGGATTGGTTTTGTCGTAGTCCCTCAAAATTCTGGACTTGTACAGTCACATGAGCAGGATATTGCAATGCATTGCAAAAACGTAACTTAAAATGTAGTAGTTGTTTACAAATAGCTATATTGACATCCTTTTAGTGTTAGGTTGGGAAAACAAAAATAATATTGGTAGCAGGCAGTCTTAAAGTAACTGCAACCAAGCATTTTGATCCAGGAATATTTATATAATTTAGTTTTCAACTGGACAAACTGACCAATTTTCATTGACAAAATAGTAGACTGATACAAATACCTACCAAAGTGTTTTTGTTTTAAAATTACATAATTTCCACAGTGTATTATTATAGCTTGGAACCTTTTCTCAGAGAACGAGGACTTCTTCTGTTGGAAATGGGGAGAGGTGAGAATTTAAAGTTCCGGGCAGATTCTCAACTTAACTAGATGAGAATGCATTGTGCTTTATTCCGCACAATTTCCAAAATTGATCAGCAACAAACGTGCATATTTGTAAGACATATTATGGTCTTAAAATTACAGTAACGGAATTTACACCTGCTGGAATTCAGTTAGAAAGATTGTAGGCTATAGTACAAATCCAGCAGATTGTAACCCCATGCTTCATCCTACTGAATGTTCTTTTTCCATTAAGGTTAATATTGAAGAAATGGAAGAGTATTTTCCAAGAATGTGGAAGAATAATCAAGATAACAGAAGGCTAATCAGAATTGCAGATCAGAAAATAAAATTTGAATGGGAAATGAACAGAAGATTGGTCAGATAGAAGAGCTTGCTTTTATAAGGCATTAATGAATTGTTTGAATTGGGAAGAATGCACGGAGTATGAAAAACTCTGAAAATGAAGAAATGAAGAAAAGTAGAAAGCAAGAGTGAAGTAAAATTAAGAATCTGGAAAATTAAAAGAATCTGGAAGATTGAATGTGTCCTAGGTTAAGTAATGTATGGTTTATGTTCACGTGTCTGTATGCTCAAGTTTTAGCATAAAATGCATGATTATTTAAGAAGTTTCATAGAATGTTGGTGACTAGGATCATTTATAGGGAATATGTATTATTTAGGAATGTACAGTACTTCGGATTCAAAGTTTACTGTGCTTTACCAGGGGCCGGAGTGGATATAGTGGAGGATTCTTAACCATTTTGTTCCTCTGCAACCTGTGACAGTATCTGAATTTTAGAGGCACACTACTGAGGTTTCTAGACTTCATATTTTGTGTAGTATAATAACTTTATTCTGTTATACCAGGAATCCCGCTCGCCATCAAAGTCTCCAAGTGGGAGCGCAGGTCGTGTAAAGTCGGAAAGCCGTTCTGCATCTCGCAGTCCATCAAGGGCCTCCAAACGTTCTGAATCTCGCTCCCGATCAAGATCCAAGTCTAGGTAAGTATTTATTGCTATTGAACTTATAACAACATTTTTAACATAACATAAGAGTATTGTGCTCTAAAGCAGTTGTGGCTTCAGACAAGTTACCAGAACTTTCAGTTATCTGAGTTCTAATTGTACAGAATTTATTTGCAGTGCTAAATTACATTCATCATAGTGCTCGGATGTGGATTTGCATCCAGAATTCTTAATCTCTTCTGCTAGTTGGTAGGTGAGATCCCTGTAGGCAAGGTGGAGAAATTCAGCACCAAGTGTTCTGTGAGGGAGGGATCAATGTATTTCTCAAGGTGAGGAAGGAAATTGATAGCAATGTTTATTTTATCTCCTGTTGTATATTGTGGTACATAAATGAACCAGTCCTCTTTATTTTTCTTGGCTGGAGTACCAAATTCGAGGCAAACAGATTTTGCTAGCTTTTGTATTTTGTTCATCTTCAAATGTCAAGTTGTTCGGATCTGGAATGCATTGCGTGGTGGAAGCCGATTCGATAACAACTTTTAAGAGAGGAGTAGATAATTATTTGGGGAGAACAAGTTTGCAGGGCTATGGGAAGAGCACGGGGGAGTGCGATTGATTTGGATAGATCTTTTCGAAGAGCCGGCACAGACATGGTGGGCCAATAGGCCTCCTTCTGTGCTGTATAATTCTAGGATTCTATGAATTGTGCTGGATGCATAAAATTCTACTATTGACATCATTGAATATTTGGCTTGAAAATGGGTAAGGAAAAATTACCTTACTGTGAATATTACTGAGGATGCAAGCTGTCATCTTCTGTAATGTTAGTTATGTTGCGATAGAATTGATAAAAAATTGTCTGGATTTCTCTTGATCTGCTAAAATCCATTGATTCAAGTAACCTGAATTCAGATTTAGTTCAATTTTTTTCTCTGATTTGCTCCTCTCTGGTATGTGCCTCTGCTTCCTCGTGCTGGGCTGCTAGCCAAGGGCACTAGTTGCATGACCCCATGAGGCTGTTCATGTGTGACACCTTGACAACGGGTGTCAACTGGCTGTTCAGTTGCAGGGGCCAATACAGCCAAGCCTGACTTTTCCCCAAACTGACAATGAGTTGATGTCCCAAAAGGGAGCAGGAGCTATGGATAGTTTTCCCCTTCCTAACCTGGAAAGTCTGGTTGCATGAGGAGGCTAAATTTGCCAATCAGCTGAGACCATTAAACCCTGCAGACCAGCTTTCTAACAAGTAAGGTCCTGGACCATAAACTGTAACTGACCACCGGCCTGCTTCATGTCCCCTGCCCTCTCCACTCCAACATAGATGGGTGGTTTTTCAGCCCTTTTGCCCAACTCTCTGAAACTCCATCCTGGATTCCCTTTTGACTTGTGACAAAACATTTGTTTTCTAACGATCCTCTGCAAGGTCTCTTGTAACCTTCCTCTTAACTTTTTCAGTGACAAACCTGATACCTCATTGTGACCAATTTAGCAAACAATGATATTTGATAACTGATCCTTGTCAAAACCTCTTCAGAATATTGCAGACCACCATGTAATATTCCATCATCTTTTTAACAAAGTTTCACCTTTGTCTTTATGCTCTTTGAAACTCAATTTTGCAACTGGATCATAATGATTGACCCTTTTTTGTGTGATTTATACTAAACCTCTTTCTATTGTTTGTCTTTTTCATAATGAGGTGCTGTACAGAATTACAGGTGGTACTTCTACTGCTGCCTAGCCAAATATATATAGCATAAATATTAATATGTATAGTTGTACATAGCATTGTATCCTTGCTTTTGCTCTTCAGTACCGCTATCTAATTTACATTTGCCCAATACTGTTTCTGTAAATTAGTGTAATACCAACTAACCATTTTGAAATGTCATTAGATCACACTCCAGAAGACATTCACACCGGCGCTATTCGCGCTCAAGATCACGTTCCCATTCTCACAGAAGGCGATCTCGCAGTCGATCTTACACACCGGAGTATCGTTCACGGAGGAGGAGCCGTAGTCATTCTCCAATGTCCAGTCGCAGACGACACGCAGGAAGTAGGGTAGGTCGTTTATTGAAATGGATGTATAATCTCATTGGTGAGTGAAGTGAATACTGACTTCTGTTTTGATGAGAAACCTTGGTATTCAGTACCCCAATGGGGTGACCTTATCAGCCAACAGTTATTCATTAGCTGAGCACTTTAAATTTGGAATGCTCTTGTGACTTAATGATACAATAATTTGTGTGAGTAGCCTCTTGATTGAAGAATCTAATCCTGTAAAGTAATTTCAGATACTTTTTTATGGTATGTATATAATTTGTGAAAATTAGCATGGATTGAAATCTATAATCTGTGGTACAAAATCTACATATCCAGTAATTACATTTTCTATTTTTGGATCCTTTTCCAGCTTTATAAATGGCCATGACACTGCCTTCACAGCGCACATGATTTGAGTTCTATTTTCTGATTTTGGCTGGAACTTGAATCGAGAGTAACCTTTTGGAGAGTTCTTCTCCGAGCTAGTCCGCAGTATACCTCCTATTGCTGGTGTGAGGTTCAACTTTTACTGAGAGAGGGAGAGAAAAATAATTCTTTGTTCATCTTGCCCTACATCAGACAGGCCATGCGTCAGCCAAACATGGCGGAGGATTGATAGTGGATGTGGACAAGTCCGCTGCCAGGACTGCACCGTCGTCCCAGCTGAAGGATGATGCTTGGAGGCGAGCAGGATATGGAAAGAAGGAGGGCAAAATCGGATCTCAAAATGTAAGTTGAAAAGCTTTTTTATGCATGTATTTAATGTGTTCTAGTTAGTCTCTTAAGCAAGATGTTTGACTCAAATGTTGAATTTCTTACTGGACCTAAAAACACAACTATTCAGGAGGCAATGACTTGTTCGCCTGTTTGCTTTTCCCCTTCTGAAATTGTGGCTGCCTTGTTCTTCTTTGTCTCTTTCTTTGTGATGAAGGAGTAAATGAGTAAAGAAACCATTGTGAACAATTATGTAACAGAGCTTTCACGTGCTTTATACAAATTTATGGTTGCCAGTGTAAACAATACAACACGGTTGCTTTATGGTAACGTTGGTCCAGAAGAATGCATTTTTAGAAAACCCCAAATCTTGATTGAGTTAACAGTAATCTAAATAGATACTTGCTATTGTAGTTTGATTTCTTCCAGAACATGCTTGTAGTGATCGTTGAAAATTGAGCCTTTCTGTAACGGGTGCCACAAAACTCCTGGTATCACATTAGTTAGTCACTTAACTCCCAATATGGAATTGGATTACACAAGAGCTAACATTTATTAAATTGTGTTTCCCCCATACTTGCTCAATGTCAACGCAGCTAAATCCTTTTGCCTAGTGAATCAATGCAGACAGCAATTTAATCGGTGTAGTTCAGTGTGGTACAATTGACATCTGGGCTATATAGTATAAGAAATCCTGGCATCTACTATATCAAGATTTGCGTCTTGCATTCTAGAAATTATCCAGAAATATCCTTGATATGTATTTTTTCTTAATTGCTATGGTGATCTTAGTACACTTAAGAACAATTTTATGCAGGGAAACATAGTAGCCATTTGTGGTCAACAATCATTACTAAATGACCAATTAATCTCGAGAATTCCTGGCCACTCATGGTGAGAAACTTGCTTCTAAAAGAGGAAAGGGATGAGGGCAGATATGGGATTTCAGTGTGTAATCGGAAAGGTGCTGCCTCTTTAACTGCAAAAAAAAAAAGCCAAAATGCTTGTTCACCTAGAAATCTACAAACTTCTGACTTGGGGGTGTGATTGCTCTCATGTGATCTACATGTAATTGAATCTACATGTTCTTGAAAGGCTTTTGTTATTTTGTTAGGGAACAATGCTTTCCAGTAGTTTTGAGACTGATCTAGAACTATCCGTGTAAATAAACCATTGCTAGCTGAGTACTGTCATGTCTGAATACTTTAGCGCCCTGGGCTGTCTTTCCGAGGTGAAGGGCTCTGTACAAGTGTAATTTGTTATTGTATTCGTTTTTCTCAGTTGTGCCTTTTTGTGATGTGTGCCCGTAATCTATCATTGGGAATTCATGAAACTGTTTCATGATGATCCTAGCCGAGCCCTGTAATGTATGTCATTACAGAAAGTGAAGGCTGACTGAAATGAGTCTTAAGGAGCCAAAATGTGTTTTATTAAAAAAAAAACTCTTTGAATATAGTAAATAGGTAGAGGGAATGTTTTCACCAAAGTATTTACTACTTCCCTTTCCTCTTCTACCACATCTGTTCTTTTATTTTACTTGATTATTATCCACGTGTTTGCAAACTCATCTAAAAAGATGCATGTCCAACATTTCTTAGAGCATGTTATCCGATAGAAATTGCTGATTAGCCATAGATGTGCTATGGCGATGCCATTTTAGCCACTTGCACTAATTTTAGTAGAAAACGCTTTACGGGTAAATATACTTCACATGTATGTTTACATATGTATTTATTTAACAAACATCTTCACCATTCAGTGTGAAATTTTGCAATCTTTTTACTTTTCTTTCATGAGATGCCCCTGCTCTATCAAGAACAAGGTTGGATGCTGCTTGCACTTTGCCATGACATGCCCTGTTGGAGCTGCTTGTTATTGGCACGGTGTTTTTTTGCTGGCCTGTAGTGATCATTCTGCTTGGTTGAGCTGACCGCGATTGACAACTCCCCTCTCTACAATATTACTGGTGTTGAAATCTGCTATTTTTATCTGTGTTTCACATCATTGTAGCAGATAACCAATATGCAGTAGCCAAGGAAGTAAAGCACACTTCCTTGGCTACTGCATCAAAAATCCATTTTTACCAACAAATGCACATAAAAGTCAGAGTACATCTTCATACAGTGTACAAATATGAGTATTGAGATCACATGCCCAACAGTGGTGTCTATAATTACATTTTTATTTGCTATTCAAAAAGCAAAATCTATATCTGGATTCCCATTTTGCACATGTGGCTAACGTATTGGACAATCCTGGAGTCCTGTAGCTCAGTGGTTACAGCACTTGCCTTTCACACGAGACACCTGGGTTCAATTCCAGGCAGGGCGAAACCTTGGGCACGTTTCCTTACTCCACACGCCTAATAATAATACTTCCAAAACAAAACAATAATAAATTGGTCATTTTCAATCCACGACTGTTTGTAGGACACTGCTGTGCGAAATTGGCTGCTGCGTTCGCCCACAAGTATACAGGCAATTCACTTCACAGCATATTCTGAAAAGCGCTATATCAAATGCAAGGATTATTATTAATCCTGCCTTAGAGAGATCAGTTGTCATTGTAACTTCAAAGAAGTAGATATTGTGCCCTTGTTCGTGAGATCATTTCTTTTCTGGTACTAATTTTGTCTTGTTGTTAGTTAATGCTTGAAGTATACAATTATTAACTGAAAAATACAATTGAATTCATTGTACTCATTTTGCAGGCTAATCCAGATCCAAATACTTGTCTCGGAGTTTTTGGTCTTAGCTTGTACACCACTGAGCGGGACCTGCGTGAAGTCTTCTCTCGATATGGACCATTGGCAGGAGTCAATGTAGTTTATGATCAGCGGACTGGGAGATCAAGAGGATTTGCGTTTGTTTATTTTGAAAGACTAGAGGATGCTAAAGAGGTAACATTTGGTTGCACAATTATTTCACACTGCACTTGGATTAAAATGTTAGGTTTAGACTGGAGGGCTGGAAGTGATGACTGTGCTGACCTTTGACCCAGCGGTTACCCATTTTATAGTTCAAAACCATTTTTAAAAAAGTTTAATTGGTCATGTTTGGAAGTTTTTGGAGGCCAGCTATATTTAACTTTGTTTAGATAGAAATGCATGACATCCACAATGCCTTGGATTTACATCTTTGATTAAGTAGACAAAAGGTTTTCTGAAGGAATAAATTCCCTCTCAATCACTTTATGCCATTTTTAACAGGTAAATTTGTGTGAAAGTTGAGCTTTAATCTTTTGACAGGCAATGGAACGTGCTAATGGTATGGAACTGGATGGGAGGCGAATTCGTGTGGATTATTCTATTACAAAGAGACCTCACACCCCGACTCCTGGGATCTATATGGGAAGACCAACTCAGTAAGGATTGACAAGTACAGCATTTTACTTTTTTGAGTTTTTCCTCTGTTTCATTCTGTGCTAATTATTACTTTCCCCTAATAGTAGCAGTGGTGGCGGCGGCGGTGGTGGTGGAGGAGGAGGAGGAGGAGGAGGTGGAGGCGGTCGTCGTCGCGATTCATACTACGATCGTGGATATGACAAATATGACAGATACGATGACCGAGACTACGATTATCGGTACTGGTAACCCCCGATTCTGCGCGTGTGGCTGTTGTCCTAGGGTTATTGATACTTGGCCAGAATAGTTGGAGCAATTCATTTAATTATAAATCTGAATAGAAATTGTAATGCAAATGTTTAAAAAAAACTATCAAGATTGGGTGCACAGAAATTGAGTGTTGATCTTTATAAGTAATGTTGCCCCCTTTTAAAATTCCTAACTTGGTATTGATTATTTAGATTTTTGTTTATTTTTAACAGCAAGTAGCTTTGCGTGATGACTGTGCTGACCTTATGACCACAGCAGTCGCCTATTTGATTTGGAGATAATTGGAAAAACTAAAATTGGAACCTATTCAGCCTGATAGTTGTTTAAAATTGACTTGTTAGTGAGTTCATAATAAGGGGTGCGTACATATAACTGAGCCACCAACAGATATAAAAGTTTAGCAGGAGCTTCCTTAACCAGGGGCTTACGTGAATGTAGAACTCACCGTGAAAAATTATGGTTGAAGCAAAATGCATCCGTGTAATTAAAAGTAACCTCAATGCATGCATGAGGGCGAAGTGATATTCGGATGGGTGGAAACTCACCAGCTTCAGTTGGAGTGAATGGCCTATATCAGTCCTGTAGATTCTTGTCTTGTGCTATACAGTATTTTGCCTTTTAAGTTGTTTGTGCTGGATATGGAGCTGTAATGGTGATTCTTTTTGACTACTTTTCTCTGATGCACATTTGGTATGCACCTAATTTTTTTNAGCCAGAGTGAAGTTAATAAACTGAGGTTTGGACAAGTTCCTGTCTGGAATAGTGAGTTCCTAAAGCTATGACATTGTAAGTGCTTTTTTGATTAAATTGTTGTGTGTTTTGTCCACCATAGCCTCATTACACTAATCTTTATTTTATAGTAGTAGGCGACGTTCACCATCGCCATATTACAGCAGAGGATACCGTTCCCGTTCAAGATCCCGTTCATATTCGCCACGTAAGTGCTTAAACAGAATTATTTCTAAAACCAATGTATTTTGTATTGCTTTCAAAGAGTAATTTAATGTCTTTGTGTTTGTTGCAGGACGTTACTGATGAGGCTCTGCTGGGTGGCTGACTGAAGATTTTTAATTAATGTGTTACATTATTTTTTTCGGGGGGGGGGCGGGGTGGGATTAAGCTTTTGGTAGTTCACATGTATAGTGCATGATAGTTTCTGTGGCTATAACTGCTTTGGAAAGGTAATTCTTACAGCTACTTGCTTGAACTGATTTATGTAGTTCGTAAACTGATGTAAAGAAAGCAGAGGGCTGGAATTTAATGGTGATCTTATAATTACCAAAACAGGATAAACAATTATTTGAACACACAAATGCCAGCATTCATTGGTTTTGTGACGGTTTCACTGTCCTGGGATTGTAACTGCTGTTGAAGCTGATCTACAGTTCTCATGTTCTGTTTTTGTGTTTTGTTTTCTTAAATAAAGCTGATGTAAACATAGAAAAAAATCAGTATTTGCTAAATAACAATTTGAATTGTACAAAAGGGTAGTGTCATGATGTCCCTCTTATTGAACAATTCTAAAAGGTAATCTAAGTCTTGGAACCTATTGATCTGACCAGGTAATAGTGGGAACATTGAATTTCTGCCCTAGGATGAAAATGTGATGTGATGGAATTCTGTAACAATGTCTCTACACAGTTGTAAAGGATTATAAGAATTAAATTGTTTTTAGTTGATGCTGTATACTGTTTTTCAGTAAGTGGTTACAGCTAAAGTGTGATTGGAATGTACTATATTCCTTCTACAACTCGATTTGAAAGACCAAATAATCTGTTTCTAAAACAGTCTGCATTCTTCTGAAGCAGAACCTTTGGTGGTTTTGACATTTATTCCTGTTTGACAAATAAGAGAAATTACTACAACAGCAAAATTACGCAGTCATTTATTATTTCAAAAGTTTCAAATCTAAAGACTGTTGGGTGGGAACAAGCCATTGCTGGCATTGGAAATAGGCAATGCTAATTTGCTTTGTAGGATTCTGACCATTGGGACAAATGCTCCAATGCAATCTAGTTGTTGAGCAGAGGCCCTCTGGGGAAACCTGTCTGGGCACTTCACGGAGTTGCTATTGGTAACCTATTACAAATGCTGTTTTCATCCCATTGTGGCCTCCCCTTGTACTCGGATCCTGATTTTTGTGCTTGAACTACAATCTCCATTCATCATCCTCTATAGCCACTGTTTATACATTCCATTGGTGTGGATCAGACTTTGATGCTTAATTTCATAAACTTCCTTACTAGCAGATTTCCAGTTCATTCGAGATTTTCAGCAAAGGTTTGATGCGCCCTCTACTTCCTCTCTTTAGACTGACCTGTTTCTCAATATTGTGAACTGCTACAATTCTGGCTTACCAAAACAATCTGATCCCTGATAACCTACTGTTTCTCAAGCTATGCTTACAGTACTTGTTGCAGAGCTATTGGAAGTTGTCGAGTACCACAGATATTGAATCATTGAGTTCATCACAGAGAATTAGTGCACTTCTGCGCGCTTATGGGTCTATAAATTATTTTAAGAGGTATTGACTTCAAAAGATTCATTTTGCAGCTGTTTGGCCTAATGTCTTTTCTTGCACTATTACCATCTTGAGTAGTTCTCACCTCAAGTGGTTGCAGCTCCCGATGCTTACATTTATGCTGACTGCCAGTGACCTTCATGTCACCTCTTTATTGCATTTTGAACGTGCACTTAACACAAGCTTAACTAAGGTAGGCTAACTATTCTTGCCCTAGCGACTGCTTTGTCCCTACAAGTCCTACTCATGAGTCATGAAAGAAGATCCCCCACCCCCCTTGCATGGGGATTATTATTATAAACAAGCACTCCTTGCTTATAATAATCCTTGTATTTGACAATAGTGTATTGCTACATCAAAGCACTAGAAACTATACTGTAAAATTTTCTGACTGCCTTTTGTGGGGAATGTGGCAGATGGAGAAACTCTTCAATTGGTGTGGAATCCACCTGAACAGGCCAACGGCACAGGACCTCTGTTTAATGTCTTAGCAAAACGATGTCACCTCTGACAATGCAATACATTTCACTGGAGAGAGCATAAGCTATGGGTTCCAAGCCTTATTGGGGTGGGCTGAACCCTCAACCAACTTTCTGATTTGGAGGTAAGAGATACCAGCTGAACCAGGCTAATTAATGCATGTAATCAGGATAAACACCCTAAAGAGGCTTAATGACTCCATCTGGTTTTGAGGCATATAAGTATGCTTAGACATTGATAAACGATTAATAATGAATTGAACAACTGGATATAATGCACTCTAGTTCAGCTTCCCCTTGCAATAAGGTGATTAAAAATGACAACATTTTTTGAACATGGATTCAAAATTGTGCATAAGACTGGAGCTAATGTAATGCCTCAGTTTAAAAGTCTTAGCATTCAGTGCCTTATTCTGGCAGAAGGACACCTCAAAATGCGTCACAGGATTTAGTGAAATGGAGTGACAAGGCAAATGTGGCAGCCAGTTTTGCAGACAGCAACGTCCCACAGACAGTCCTGAAATGAATGACAACTTTGGGAATTGTCGGTCAGGACACCGGGAGAAACTTCTCTGAATTGTGCCAAGGATGTTTAACATCCACCTGAACAGGCTGATCGGAGCTTGGTTTAACATCTTATCCGAAGAGTGGGGGTGAAGAAAGGGACCAACTACGCAACTGTAATTATGAACCAGTCAGATTAACATCCACATTGGGCAATTAAAAAAAATTAGGGTGCATGGTATTAATGGAAACCTAGAGCATAGGCAGTAAGTTGGGTAAAAGATAGGAAACGGTGGGAGTAGATAGGATGTAATTAGTGGTGTCCACCAGGGGTCAGTGTCCAGACCACTGCTTTTCTCCCATTTGTATAGAAGATTTGGATTCTGGTGCAGTACAGTAGAACTCGTACAAGTTGCCTCTTCATAAATTATACAATCATCTAAGTCGTACATGAACCCAAGTCCCATTCAGTCTACCAAAAACCACATAGATTTCTTTGCACTGGTCGTATTTTATAAATTGGATAAACAACAACAAATTACACTTGTATAGCGCCCTTCATATTGGAAAAACGTCCCAGGGCGCTGGGTAATCAGGGTTTGGACCCAAGTAGGGGTGGGAGGCTTGGCCGAAGGCACAGTTGAAGAAGAAGGTCTGGACCGGACTTCAAGGAGGCCAGAGAGGCTAAATTGTAACTTTCTTGGTCCCAAATAATCCTGAATCCTAATATAAATCATCTCCCAACTCGTATTGCCATAACCGCACTTACCGGCTGCACTGAAGTAAGCATCCGCTGTGTTCCATTTGAACCAAGCACTGGAAATGGTGGTGGGAGCCAAAGAGTGTGGGGAGGGTAAAGATGACCGAAAGTATAATCAGAAGGTAAGTCTTGAGGCAGCATTTGAATGGTGAGGGAAGGATTTAGTCGGAGTTAAAGACCGTGCCTAAAAGTTTGCCCATAAATAGGATGGATATGGTGAAGGACAAGAAGCAGCCAGGTTTGCTGAGCCAAGAGAGTGGCAGGGTCGGTTGAATTGTAGGAGGGTGCAGAGGTAGGGTGAGGCAAAGTTGGGACGGATTTTAAAGGTAAAACGAGGAGTGGAAACTGGATTGAAGAGATGGAAGAGAAAAGCTGCGAGGCAATGACTTTCCAGTACTGAGAAGAGGAAGGGCAAGTTAGAGCATTATTGGAAGCCTGGAACTATCGGGGAAGGAAGTGGATGATTATTATTATTTAGCTAACATTAGGTAGTTTAATGTCTCCAAGACGCTGTCCTGTGTGAAAGGTATAATATAAATGCAAATTGTGGTAATAGCAGCACAAGGGGAAGTTGGCTGGTCAGGAGTGGTGCAGGGATAGGGTCAAGGAAGCAAATGAGTTTCATGTGGGAGATGAGGGAGGAGAGAGATGCAGGAAAGACCAGGTTGAAAGTGTGGAATGAGGGGTGGGTGGAGGCTGGGGGGGAGGAAGAGTTTGATAAGGTTGATAAGCTATTTTACACTGATTGGGTAGATCATAACCAAGAGACACAAGTATAAGATAGTGACTGGAGGATCTAAGAAAATTCAGGAGGAACTACTTCACACAGAGGACACTGAGATTGTGGAACTCGCTGCTTGAAGTGGTGGTTGAATCAAATAGATGTATTCAAGAAGAAGCTAGACCTTCACATGAAGAAAAGGGAAACGAAAAGGTATGGGAGGAAGTAAGAAGTGGGTTGAGACTCGTGTGGAGAGTAAACACTGGCACCGACTGGTTGGGGTAAGTGGCCTGTTTCTGGCTATACATTCTTTGTAAATCTTTGTGATCCTCCTCCAAACCAAATTAAACACATTACTGTGAACAAAGACTTCCAAAGCATAAATTCAAAGTGCAAACTAAATGGTGCTCAGCAATGAAAACCTCAGGCATACTTTCTGGACTATTTCACAAGCATAAAATACCATAATGTAAAATATGTCAAACATAAAAGGAAAGAACAACCCTTGTGGAAATGCAATTACTGTATTTCATATTACTGATGGAACATTTGATATAAACATCTACAAACAAAACAACTGAGTAAGACCACAAAACAAAATTAAGGCAACCAACCTTTTCATCAGAAGACAATGAAAAATGTTAATGTGCCCTAACAAAATTAACCTTTTTTGTTTATGGAACGAGCGTTCTAATAAATAATGCTTGCATTTGATACAGCGCATTTCATGTCAAGAGCACATCTCAAAGGATTTACTGTAAAGTGTAGTGACTATTTTACTGGGGAATACGGCAACCAATTTGCACACAGAATAATTCTCTTCATGGCTATTAGTGGACATTTCTGTCAGATAAAGAAATTATCAAATATTAATTGACTTGGACTTTTTCTTTTAAAAAAAATTCAAAAATTTTAAAAAATCCTAAGAAACAGCCAAACTTAAAATGATAACCATCCTGATTTTTCCTGAGTTCTACAAACTCAACTTCTTAACATCTTATTAAAAAAAAAGGTGGTATCCATCTCTCCTGATGTCCCTGTAACATTTCCCATGTGTACTTTAAGAAGTGATCTGATTAAGCTGTCAACAAGGAATACAACAATAACAACAAGATTCCATTTATTGAGCGCCTTTCACGTCGGGAGGATGTCCGAAGGCGCTGTACAGTTGGGTCAGGACCCGAGCAGGGGGGAAATGGTTAGGGGGAGGGAAGGGAGGGAGCGAGGAGGGGGTAGAGAATCGAGAGGGGAGCTGAAGGCACGGTCAAAGAGAAAGGTCTTGAAACCGGCCTTGAAGGAGAAAAGGGAGGAGGCGGCGAAGGCACTGGGGATAGAGTTCCAGAGCCTCGGGGCTGAGAGGCTGAAGGCCCGGCCACCGATGGTAGGGCGGTTGGGGCGGGGGATGTGGAGCAGACCGGAGCCAGAGGAACGGAGGGTACGGGCAGGTAGGTAGGGGGATAGTAGGTCGGAGAGGTAGGAGGGAGCAAGGCCGTGAATGGCCTTGTAGGTGAGGATGAGGATCTTGAATTCAATCCTCTGGGGGATGGGGAGCCAGTGGAGGCGAGCGAGGGTGGGAGTGATGTGGTCCGAAGCCTGGTGCGGGACAGTACACGAGCTGCAGAGTTCTGAATGACCTGCAGCTTGTGGAGGGAGGTGCCGGGAAGGCCGGCGAGGAGAGAGTTCCCATAGTCCATACTTGAG